TCAAAGAGCATTTTGAACCCCACCAATAATAGAATTGAAGCAAACTTTGCACATAGAACTCCCACGACCAATGGAAAATGCTGGAAGGGTTTGGTGAGCATTGACCTTGAGTTTGGGAGTTGTAGTTCACCTACATCCAGAGAGCACTGTGGACCCAAACAATGATGAATCTGGACCAAACTTGGCACGGATACCCAATATGCCCAAACGTGAACACTGATGGGGTTTGGGGGAAATAGACTTTGACATTTGGGAGTTGTAGTTACTGGGATTTATAGTTCACCCACAATCTAAGAGCATTCTGAATTCTACCAACTATGTAATTGAACCAAACCTGGCACACAGAACTCGCATGACTGACAGAAAATACTGCAAGGGTTTGTTGTGCATTGTCCTTGTTTTTTGGAGATGTAATTCACCTACATCCAGACAGCACGGTGGACTCAAACAATGAGGGATCTAGACCAAACTTGGCATGAATATGCAATATGCCCGAATGTGAACACTGGTGGAGTTTGAGGAAAATAGATCTTGACATTTGGGAATTGTAATTGCTGGGATTTATAGTTCACCTACCATCAAAGAGCATTCTGAACCCCACCAACAGAATTGGGCCCAACTTCCCACACAGAACCCTCATGCCTTGAAGGGATTTGCTGGTGCGAGCCTCCCTCCAGCCTCACATGCTCTCCCTCGCTTTAATCCACACAGAGAACTGGACCGCGGGAGCGTGTCCCTGTTGGTTCTCCTGGACCTCTCACTGTGTTTGAAGCCAGCCCGGGTCGGAGTGAACTCCTGACCATTAATAGTCTAGCTTGCTGTTGACCTATGCAGCCTGAAAGTCAGCTGCATCTGTCAAGTAGGAAATTTAGGTACAGCTTTATGCGGGGAGGATAATTTTACTAATTTGCAACACCATAAAACCTTCCAGCAGTGTGCGTAAGAAGGAGGAAGTACTCCATCATGGACTCAGTGTCACAAGAGTTGGAAGCCAGCCGTGGTCCTGACCATTAATAATCTAGCTTGCTGTTGACCTATGCAGCCTGAAAGTCAGCTGCATCTGTCAAGTAAGAAATTTAGAGACCGCTTTATGCGGGGAGGATAATTTTACTAATTTACAACACCATAAAACCTTACAGCAGCATGCGTAAGAATGAGGAAGTACTCCATCATGGACTCAGTGTCATCAAGGACTCAGTGTCACAAGAAGCTAGCCCAGGTTGGAGTGAGCTCCTGTCCATTAGTAGTCTAGCTTGCTGTTGACCAATGCCACTTTAGGGGCCGCTTTAGGCAGGAAGGCTAATTTTACTAATTTGCAACACCATAAAACCTTCCAGAAGCATGCATAAGAATGAAGAAGTACTCCATCATGAACTCAGTATCACAAGAAGCCAGCCCAGGTTGGAGTGAGCTCCTGACCATTAATAGTCTAGCATGCTATTGACATATGCAGCCTGAAAGACAGCTGCATCTGTCAAGTAGGAAATTTAGGGGCCGCTTTACGCGGGGAGGATAATTTAACTAATTTACAACACCATAAAACCTTCCAGCAGCATGCGTAAGAATGAGGAAGTACTCCATCATGGACTCAGTGTCACAAGAAGCCAGCCCAGGTTGGAGTGAGCTCCTGACCATTAATAGTCTAGCTTGCTGTTGACCCATCCAGCCTGAAAGACAGCTGCACCTGTCAAGTAGGGAATTTAGGGGCCGCTTTATGCCGGAGAGGATAATTTAACTAATTTACAACACCATAAAACCTTCCAGCAGCGTGCGTAAGAATGAGGAAGTACTCCATCATGGACTCAGTGTCACAAGAGTTTGAAGCCAGCCCGGGATGGAGTGAGCTCCCAACCTTTAATAGTCTAGCTTGCTGTTGACCTATGCCACTTTAGGGACCGGTTTATGTAGGGAGAACAATTTAACCCATTTAAAACACCATAAAACCTTCCAGCAGCATGTGTAAGAATGAGGAAGTACTCCATCATGGACTCAGTGTCACAAGAAGCCAGCCCAGGTTGGAGTGAGCTCCCAACCATTAATAGTCTAGCTTGCTGTTGACCTATGCAGCCTGAAAGACAGCTGCACCTGTCAAATAGGAAATTTAGGGGCCGCTTTATGCAGGGAGGATAATTTAACTAATTTGCCACACCGGGGTCGAGAAAAGCAGCAAGATCTCAAGATTTCAACACAAATGGTGCAAGGTCCTGACCTGGCCCAAGGGTGGAGTCATTGGCCTGGGCCACTGACCGAATCCTGAGAGAGAGAGAGAGAGAGAAGCACACAAGGAAACCTGCCAGTTCTGCAAATCTGGAATGCAATGCCTTGTGAAACTCTCCCCTGGTGACAGGAAGCTTTATGACGTCGAGACGCTTTGCAAAGACAAGGCATCGCTGCCCAATGGGCTTCTGCATTTGCCCAAAGAGCTGCTGCAAACGGTTGTGGGGATCCATTGCTCAATGCAAACCAAACTCTGTGCAAAGCTGGGCAAGAGAGGCCAAGCCAGGATCGGAATGGCGGTTGCACAGAAACAAGGCCGCTTTCTATCCAGACCTTCCAGTCGGAGAGCCATTTTCCTTCTTAGGTTTCATTAGCTAGCACGGAATGGCCTTGCAGATTCAAAGTCTGGTTGATTGCTGCCTGGGGGAGGGGGGAGAATCCTTTGTTTGGTTCCATTTCACAGGACTGAACTCCCTCCCCTCTCTGGAAGAACGGCTGGCCAGAAAATATCCAAATTCAGTTTTAATCGATATGTGAATGGTAATCAATAACACATTCGGGAAAATTACTCTCTCTACAAATCGTATAACAATACTAAATAATAATAATAATAATAATAATAATAATAATAATAATACATATCCTGCATGGATGCAAAGCACTCTGCAAGACATGTCAATGGAAATGCTGCAGGACATAAACTTACCACGACCCCCTTAATACTATCTTCCGGTAGATGTGGAACTTCTTGGGCGTTTTGTAGTCCAACGAAACTCACCACCGAGAGCGCTAACAATCACATATCGGGTCTCGTGAGTTGAATTGCCAATCGACGTTTTGTTTCAAGTGCATGTGGAAAGAGGAGTGTCTTTTTACAAGACGTTCTAAAATGGCTTTCCATATCGATGACATTTTTTCCCATCGTGGCTTGTCCCTGGACCCTGTGTACACGAATCGCCGCATATCCTCTACGTTCTCAATTCTGACTAAAGTGAGTTTCTCGCGTCCACACATCTATTACAGGTACATCTCTCCGGGCGAGGTTGTGATGGGAATCTGTTGGACAAACGCGGCCAGCTGAGGTTTACTATCCACGTTGGAATACTGATCCCGTTATGGTGGGAGACCGATACTCGCCTGTTCTAGTTGTACTAATTTGCTTGAGGCAACGCGTAAACGTGAATTGCACGAAAAAAAAGGGGAAGGGGGAGGAAAAAAAAGGAGGGGGGGGGGAAGAGAAGGATGGAAGGGAATGGGGGGAAGTGAGGGAAAGGAGAGAAGAAGGAAAGACAAAGGGGCAGTGCATGTGCTCTGCGGAGACCGGCCAAAATGCAGGGTGAGCCCAATGAATGTCTCATTGTCCCTTTAGCCATCCACAGGTCTCTCAACTAGTGGACTCATCGCTCCAATCTCTGTGTGGGCGATGTTAGCAACAGACACTTCCCTCTCAGTGTGGTGAGCTCACCTCAAGGGTCACACCATCCATGGTCCTTGGGCGGCCATAGAGGGCATAGAGCACATCAACTATTTGGAGTTACTCGCAGTAGAAATGGCACTGCACCTTATCTGTCATTTGCTCATGGACAGTATTGTCCAGCTTACCACCACCACCACGATTGTGATTTGCTTGCCCTCATCATCAGAATCTGGGACTGGTATACCATAACCATCAGTGCCATTCATCAAGAACTCTCTTGCTGGCTCCCTCAGTCAGACAGTTTATACTGACCACTAATGGTCCCTTCATCCTTCCCAGGCATGGGAGCTCTTTGTCAGATGGCAAACTCCCCTTCTGGACTTGTTTGCCTCTCCCGCCAACATGAAGTGCCACGACAAGAGGGACGTGAATGAGTTGCTCGCACTCATGTTCTTGGGGCCTTGGCTGAAATAGGCACTAAATGTGGCCTTTTAGCGAGCTGATCGAAGGGCATCTGGCTGATTGCTCCGCCTGGGGAGAAAATCCTTGTTCAGAGAGTGCTTAACCAGGTTTTTTGTGCTTACCCCTGAACCTTTATTCCTGATTTATTCTTGTCTGATGAACCAACCTGGACACAGTGTGAATGTTGCCATTGGGCAGCTTGATTAGCACTAAGTGGCCTTGGAGCTTCAAAGCCTGGTTGATTGCTGCCTGAGGGAATCCTTTGTTCAGAGGTGTTTGCTAGCCCTGATTTATTCTTGTCTGATGAACCAACCTGGACACAGCGTGAATGTTGCCATTGGCCAGCTTGATTAGCACTAAATGGCCTTGCAGCTTCAAAGTCTGGCTGATTGCTGCCTGGGGGAATCCTTTGTTCGGAGGTGTTTGCCAGCCCTGATTTATTCTTGCCTGATGAACCAATCTGGACACAGCGTGAATGGTTGCCATTGGCCAGCTGGATTAGCACTAAATGGCCTTGCAGCTTCAAAGTCTGGTTGCTTCCTACCAGTATTTAAAAAAACACTTAAAATCAGGACAGTAAATAAAGAGGAATACAAAAAAGGGGGGAATTCCAGATAGGAAACAATCAGGGCCAGCTAACACCAGCCGAGAGCTACACAAAATGTCCTGCAAGCGAAAACCCCAGACGTTGCAGCCGATACAGGGAACGAAAAGCACAAAAACAGAGGCAAGTTGAGGAGGTCTTTCTCTCTTTTTTTGGAGTGTTCTCCGCCGACTTACTCGCCAAAGCCATTCTCCAGAGGAAGATCCGGCATGCAATGTGCATAAGAAACCAGCTTTTTCTTCTTTTTTTGCAAAGTATCTAAAGAATCCACAGATGAGCATCATATTTTGGGGGTTTTCTCCCCAAAGGATGAGTTTAAAATATATACAGACATATATGTATTTTGTTTTCCATAGGAAACAGAAGTTGCTGACACCGGGAGCTCATGATCTAAGAAGATGCACCAAAATGCAATATGGTCGGAAGACAAAAATGGGGAAAGTGTGAGCAAAACGGGTGGAAAACATACAATCCAGAGGAGGAATAATCTCAGCAGGAAAAATAAACACAAGTTATTCGGAGCACAGGGTTCCTTGAGAATAGATAGCTGCAAAAACGTGGATTTACAAACTCAACGCGTATATATACAAATAGCTTCTCTCTTGATAGAATATTTGTGCAGAGTAAATGGAAAGTTTGTTCTTTTGCCCGTTATTTAAAAATGAAAGTCAGTGCAGGCGCAGGCAGATACTTGCGAGGGTCTTTCTCGAACTGCGATGTTTTGGTGAAGCAGGAGAGACACAAACTCCGACGATATTGGCCTTCGCTTGCATAAAACTCTTGCAATTTGAGTGTTTCTAAATGCATTGATGTCCCAAATGTGTCTATCTCGAACTGCACTGTTTTGGTGAAGCAGGAGAGACACAAACTCCAATGATATTGGCCTTCGCTTGCATAAAACTCTTGCAATTTGAGTGTTTCCAAATGCATTGATGTCCCAAATGTGTCTATCTCGAACTGCGCTGTTTTGGTGAAGCAGGAGAGACATAAACTCCAACGATATTGGCCTTCGCTTGCATAAAACTCGTGCAATTTGAGTGTTTCCAAATGCATTGATGTCCCAAATGTGTCTATCTCGAACTGCCCTGTTTTGGTGAAGCAGGAGAGACACAAACTCCGACGATATTGGCCTTCGCTTGCATAAAACTCTTGCAATTTGAGTGTTTCTAAATGCATTGATGTCCCAAATGTGTCTATCTCGAACTGCACTGTTTTGGTGAAGCAGGAGAGACACAAACTCCAATGATATTGGCCTTCGCTTGCATAAAACTCTTGCAATTTGAGTGTTTCCAAATGCATTGATGTCCCAAATGTGTCTATCTCGAACTGCGCTGTTTTGGTGAAGCAGGAGAGACATAAACTCCAATGATATTGGCCTTCGCTTGCATAAAACTTTTGCAGTTTGAGTGGATTGATGTCCCAAATGTCTCCCCCTTGGCGTCATGTTGCATCGGGTTCGGGGGCCTCCTCGACGAAGCCTGGTGCCGCGGGGCTGAGCGAAAGGAGAGGGAAGAGCTGGTACTCCCCGCCGCTGTCCTCGGGGATCAGGGAAGGCTTGGCCGAAGGGTTGGCCCCGTTGGTGTGGGTCTCGGCCTCAGCCTCACCGGCCAGAGGGAGGGCCAAGGGGGAGCGCTCCCCAATCGGGGCCAGGAGGACGTCCTTGGAGCCCTCCGGGGTCTCGCTCGGAGGAAGGTCTTCCAACAGCGAAAGCAAGGGGTTCCCAATGTACTGTATCAGCTGCATGTCTGGGAAGGAGAAAGGGAGGGAGAAAGATGAAAAAGAAAGGGATCAGGACACCATCAATGGCCTTTTGCATCCCATCCCATCCCCCCCCCCCCCCCCCCCCCCCCCGCTTGCCATTGTATTTTGATCTTTGCACCAACTCTTTTGGAGTCTGCATTCAAGATACAAATGTTCTAATTAAATAAATAAAATATATTATACTATACCCTTGTACTGTAATATTATTAGTAATATTACATGTCATTTAAAACATATAATTATATCATATTATTATTATTATATAGTATCACATTATAATATTATCAAGATTATATGTATACATATTGTATTATATTATATTATTAGCACAGTGCAGGAGACTTAGCAAAATAGTATTATATTGTATCACATTATAATATTATCAATATCGTATGTACACACAATATATTATATTATATTATGTTATATTATATTATATTATTAGCACAGTGCAGGAGACTTAGCAAATTAGGATTCTATTGGATCACATTATAATATTTTCAATATTGCATGTATACACAATGTATGATATGATATGATATGATTAGCACAGTGCAGGAGACTTAGCAAATTAGGATTATATTGGATCACATTATAATATTATCAATATCATATGTATACACAATATATATTATTATATTATATTATATTATATTATATTATATTATATTATATTATTAGACAGTGCAGGAGACTTAGCAAATTAGGATTCTATTGGATCACATTATAATATTATCAATATCGTATGTATACACAATATATTATATTGTATTATTAGTACAGTGCAGAGACTTAGCAAATTAGGATTATATTGGATCACATTATAATATTATCAATATTGTATGTATACACAATATATATTATATTATATTATATTATATTATATTATATTATATTATGACAGTACAGGAGACTTAGCAAATTAGTATTATAATATTATCAATATTGTATGTATACACAATATATATTATATTATATTATATTATATTATATTATATTATATTATATTATATTATATTATATTATATTATATTATTAGACAGTACAGGAGACTTAGCAAATTAGGATTCTATTGGATCACATTATAATATTATCAATATCGTATGTATACACAATATATTATATTGTATTATTAGTACAGTGCAGAGACTTAGCAAATTAGGATTATATTGGATCACATTATAATATTATCAATATTGTATGTATACACAATATATATTATATTATATTATATTATATTATATATTATATTATATTATTAGACAGTACAGGAGACTTAGCAAATTAGTATTATATTGGATCACATTATAATATTATCAATATCGTATGTATACACAATATATATTATATTATATTATATTATATTATATTATATTATATTATATATTATATTATATTATTAGACAGTACAGGAGACTTAGCAAATTAGTATTATATTGTATCACATTATAATATTATCAATATTGTATGTATACACAATATATTATACTGTATTATATTACATTACATTATATTATCAGCACAGTGCAGGAGACTTAGCAAATTAGTATATTGCATCACATTATAATATTATCAATATTGTATGTATACACAATATATTATACTGTATTATATTACATTACATTATATTATATTGTATTATACTATTAGCACAGTGCAGGAGACTTAGCAAATTAGGATTATATTGGATCACATTATAATATTATCAATATTGTATATATAGACAATATATTATATTATATTATATTATATTATATTGCATTATTAGCACAGTGCAGGAGACTTAGCAAATAAAGGCACGGTAGCCTTGAAGCTTGTTAATGAGGGAAACAGTGCCTGTAACCCATAGAAGCCCATGTGAAACTCCCAATCGGTGCCAAGGCAAAAGGTTTCCTCGGTTAGTCGCTTGGGGCATAAAAGCTAGCATATGCCAACCGCAGATCCCGAGAGGTTTAGAAGGCTGCCACCACATCCATGCGTAGCTTTTCCATAAGGATACCTGAGGGAGAGTCAGGTTTCCAAAGCCACTATTTCACCATTCTCCCAGGGGCTCACCATTCTTCCCCGGCGGCTCCGGCTCACCCATTCCTGCCATGCCGAGGCTCCCGGGCAAGTCCTCCGTCTAAGGAAAACACATTTGGAGAGAGAGAGCCAGTTATTATTATTCTTACTTTTATTATTGATAGCCTCCTGCTTTGACTACGTTTGGCTATAGCATCAGCGCTTCTCAACGCTGCCAATAACACCAGCCAGACTTGGCAGGCTTCAAGATATTGGTAAACATCCAATCGGTGTGAATGGCTCACGTCCGCAATACATGCCATTTCTATGTTTCTAAGCTGCACGGTAATTTTAGCACCAACAAAAAAGCATCTACGATGTGCTCTGTCCTTAAATATCTAGGGAGAAAACTTAAGTCTTAGAACTGAGGGAATATTTATTTTCACATCTTTCCAACACCTGGCCTCTGACAGTCCTTACAACAGTTCTGTGTTCCAGTCATACTTCCAATAAATATGGCATAGAGATCCTTCTATTCTTGCTAACCTGCCACTTGTAGTACCATCTTCAGTCACTAGGTGGTAGCATTTCCCAATGACAACATAGTTTTGCATTCGATAGTTAAAATACAAATTGTCACCATTTTGTTAGGAAGTTTTGAATGTATCAACTGCTGACCTTTGCCTAATGAAGGCAAAACCATACAACTTTAATGCTCTGGTGCATTTGACGCTTGTAGTACAACCTTCAGTCACTAGGTGGTAGTATTTCCAATGACAACATACTTTTGTTGAATAGAGTTATAATAGAAATCATCACTGTTTTGTTGGGAAGTTTTGAATGTATCAAACTGCTGACCTTTGCCTAATGAAGGCAAAACCATACCGCTTTAATGCTTTGGTGCATTTGATGCTTGTAGTACCACCTTCAGTCACTAGGTGGTAGCATTTCCCAATCACTACATTGCATTCAATAGAGATATAATACTAATCATCACTGTTTTGTTGGGAAATTCTGAATGTATCAAACTGCTGATGTTTGCCTAATGAAGGCAAAACCATACAGCTTTAATGCTTGTATGCATTTGACACTTGTAATACCACCTTCAGTCACAAGGTGGTAGTATTTCCCAATCACTACACTGCATTCAATAGAGATATAATACTAATCATCACTGTTTTGTTGGGAAATTCTGAATGTATCAAACTGCTGATGTTTGCCTAATGAAGGCAAAACCATACAGCTTTAATGCTTGTATGCATTTGACACTTGTAATACCACCTTCAGTCACAAGGTGGTAGTATTTCCCAATCACTACACTGCATTCAATAGAGATATAATACTAATCATCACTGTTTTGTTGGGAAATTCTGAATGTATCAAACTGCTGATCTTTGCCTAATGAAGGCAAAACCATACAGCTTTAATGCTTTTGTCAATTTGACACTTGTAGTACCACCTTCGGTCACAAGGTGATAGCATTTCCCAATCACTACACTGCTGACCTTTGCCTAATGAAGGGAAAACCATATCAGCTTTAGAGTGTCAAGTAAGTATTGCTACTGTTTGTGCCCAGAACAAAGGACCAAGTTTTGCCATTGTGTTCTGCTTTGGGCTGCAGTCCTCACTCCCATCATGGAGGAGAATAGCCTGCTCTAGAAGGCCAGAACCAGAAGAGTATGGAATTCTTTTGCTCAACTGCTTGTATTGCATTCTGGGAGAAAGGCTTCCTGACCCGCACACGCATACACACACCACATCTCTCTCCCTTTTACCCAAAGACCACACTCTACGATGGAGCTCATTGGAGCAACACTCACAGAACCAACGCCGCTGGCGGAAGCTGCCTGGGATTTACTCCAAATAGCAGGCTCCAAACCATCCTGGAAAAGGAGCTTGTTTAGAAAAGAGAATGAGTAAGTTTCCTTCTAGGAAGGAGAATTTAGTCCTGGCAGAAGGCGCTTATGACAACACTAACTTGGAAGCAGAGGAGCAAAGCATTTTGTGTCCTCTTCTCATAAATCCCCAGCTTTGCTCTCTTTCTCCCCTTCTCTCTGGCTCCATCTACACCGACCACTTCATGCAGTTTCAAACTGGTACTAAAAAAAGCACAGGTGATTCCATAGGAAATCCTGGCCCAGATGGAGGTGACACAAACCACAGATTATGGAGGTGCACTGAGGGCTATCTCTTGTGTGTGTGTTTTGCAAGAGTTTGTCAACTGGGTGTCACAGTTAGCATCAACTGCATTATATGGTCAGTGTAGATGGGGGCCTCTGTCGCATAAAGGTGCATTGCATCCCTTCCAAGCCTCTTTCTATGCCAAAGATGCTTCCTCGGTCTTTGGAAGGAAGGCCAGAGAGCAGCAAAGGCACTCTGAGTCTCCTCTGGCAGAGAAAAAGTGGGCTATCAACTATAATCATAGTTACAGCAATAATAACAACAGCAATAATAATAAAGCCTCCTTCCCGCAGGACTACCCACCGTGTTCCTATCTACCTGCCAGGGGTTGAATCACCTGCCTCCACTTACTTACATCTTTCAAATCAGCTGGAACTTCGGTCAGGTTCATGTCCCACACAGGAAGCTCTGGATTGAAGGTCTGAAAACAGAAATCAAGAAAACGAGGCACCTCAATCAGAAGACTGGGTGGGTATCTGTTGTGGAAGGAGGGTGTGATTCTGGTTTTCCTGCCTGCCAAAACTGAGTAGGACTGGATGGCCTGTTGCGGTCCCTTCCAATTATATTATCATTTTTATCAAGACTGGATGGCCATCTGTCGGGAGGGCTTTGATTGTGGTCTTCCTGCCTGGAGAAGGGGGTTGGACTGGATGGCTTTGGGAGGTCCCTTCCAGCTATATTATTATTATCATTATTATTGACACTGGATAGCCAACTGTTGGGAGTGCTTTGATTGTGATCTTCCTGCCTCACAGAAGGGAGTTGGACTGGATGACTTTTGGAGGTTCCTTCCAACTATATAATAATAATAACCATCATCATCATCATCATTATTGAAACCCGACGACCATCTGTCAGGGGTGCTTTGATTGTGATTTTCCTGCCTCGCAGAAGGGAGTTGGATTGGATGGCTTTGGGAGGTCCCTTACAACTATATTATTGTTATTATTATTATCATTATTATTGACACTGGATGGCCATCTGTTAGGGGGGCTTTGATTGTGGTCTTCCTGCCTTGCAGAAGGGAGTTGGACTGAATGGCTTTGGGAGGTCCCTTCCAACTATATTGTTGTTGTTGTTGTCATTACCATTATTATGGACACTGGATGGCCATCTGTCAGGGGTGCTTTGATTGTGGTCTTCCTGTCTCACAGAGGGGAGTTGGACTGGATGGCTTTGGGAGGTCCCTTCCAACTACTATTATTATTATTGTTATTATTATTATCATCATCATCATTATTATTATTATGGACACTGGTAGGCCATCTGTCAGGGGTGCTCTGATTGTGGTTTTCCTGTCTCGCAGAAGGCAGTTGGACTGGATAGATTTGGGAGGTCCCTTCCAACTATATTATTATTATCATCATCATCATCATCATCATCATTATCATCATCATCACCATTATCATTACGGACACTGGATGGCCATCCGTTGGCAGTGCTTTGATTGTGGTCTTCCTGCCTCATACAAGGGGGTTGGACTGGATGGTTTGGGAGGTCCCTTCCAACTATATTGTTGTTGTTGTTATGATTATTATTGAGAAGGGATGGCCATCTGTCAGGGATGCTTTGATTGCGGTTTTCCTGCCCCGCAGAAGGGAGCTGGACTGGATGGCCTTTGGGGATCCCTTCCAACTATATTATTATTATCCTCATTATTATTATTGAGACTGGGTGGCCATCTGTCAGGGGGCGTTGGCTGTGCTCCTCCAGCCTGGCTGCAACAAGGACTGTTCGCCACGCATGAGAGTTTGCGGCACGCGAAAGCAGACTCACCTCGGTAACGGCATCGGAGGCATAGCCGAGCTTCTTTCCCGAGAACATGGCCTGCAGTTCCTCGAGGCTGGCGTCAATGCAGTTCAGGAAGTCTTGGATCTCCTCCCTGAGAGAAAACAGCAGAGAGTGGATGAGAAAGACGGGGGGGCTTCTGGGAACTCTGGCAAGGCCATGATTTAAAGGCATTATGTAGATAGCTAAAGCCGGGAACATATTGACTTGAGAACATGTAAACAAAGGGGAGCTGGGATGAGAGGCACCGGGAATGTTGCTAAGGGGGATATATATATATATATATATATATCTCAGTGGCGTAGTGAGTTATAGCGCTGAGCTGCTGAACTTGCTGACTGAATGGCTGGCGGTTCAAATCTGGGGAGCAGGGTGAGCTCTCGCTGTTAGCCCCAGCTTCTGACAACCTAGCAGTTCAAAAACATGCAAATGTGAGTAGATCAATAGATAATGCTCCAGTGGGAAGGAAACAGCAGTCCATGCAGTCATGCCAATAGCCACATGACCTTGGAGGTGTCTACGGACAATGCTGGCTCTTTGGCTTAGAATTGGAGATAAGCACCAACCCCCAGAGTCAGACATGACTGGACTTAATGTCAGGGGAAAACTTTACCTTTATCTTTCATTCATACACACACACACACACCTTTATTCCTCATCAATACAGCCTGGAAAGAAAGTTACTTCTGAGCAGTTGTAAGGCATGGTGCTCCCTCTCTCTCTCTCTCTGTCTCTCTCTCTATATATATATATACACAAACATTCACACACACACACACACACATATATACACATATGCATATATATATATATATATATATATATATATATATACACACACACACACACACACACACACACACACACACACATACGTATACACATATACATACATATATACACATATATATACACCGGGAATGTTGCTAAGGGAGATAGATAGATAGATAGATAGATAGATAGATAGATAGATAGATAGATAGATAAGAAAGATATGGAACCCCTGGTGGCGCAGTGGGTTAAAGCACTGAGCTGCTGAGCTTGTTGATCAAAAGGTCACAGGTTCGATTCCGGGGAGCGGTGTGAGCTTCCGCTGTCAGCCCTAGCTTCTGCCAACCTAGCAGTTCGAAAACATGCAAATGTGAGTAGATCAATAGGTACCGCTCCAGCGGGAAGGTAACGGCGCTCCATGCAGTCATGCCAGCCACACGACCTTGGAGGTGTCTACGGACAACGCTGGCTCTTCAGCTGAGAATTGAAGATAAGCACCAACCCCCAGAGTCAGATACGACTAGACTTAATGTCAAGGGAAAACCTTTACCTTTAACTTTTATTCATTCATACATATATACATATATATATATTATTCCTGATCAATACAGGATAGAGAGGAAGTTACTTCTGAGCAGTTGGAAAGAATCTCTCTCTCTCTATATATATATATATACATATATATACACGCACATATATACACATGCATAGATATATACACACACATATACACATATATATACATATAAACATGTATACATATATATATATAAAGAGAGAGAGAGAGAGAGAGAGAGAGAGACAGCGCACCATACTTTTCAAGTCCTAGCTGTGAGTAAGAATCTGCAGCCCATGTCTTTGTGTGTGTCAGGAGCAAGTTGAGAAACTGCAAGTCACTTCTGGTGTGAGAGAATTAGCAGTCTACAAGGATGTTGCCCAGGGGACACCCGGTTGTTTTGATGTTTTACCATCCTTGTGGGAGGCTTCTCCCATGTCCCCGCATGGGGAGCTGGAGCTAACAGAGGGAGCTCAACCCGCTCTCCCGGGATTTGAACTCGACGGCCTGCTGGTACAAGGGTTTAACCCACTGCATCACCGGGGGCTCCACATCTGCGGCCCATGACACAATGTAAGGAAACCTCCATAAGGATGTTGCCAAGACTAGTTTTAAGAGAAAGTGTTCACATTAAACCTGAGATGTCCTCAATGCCATCGTGACCCGGACCCACCTGTCAAGCAAAGTGTCATTCTGGGCCGCGGCTTGGTTCTCATTCAAGATGGAGTCGATCATGGACGCAGGATCTTCCCCGCCGGACACGACTGGGGCTGGGTGCAGCTCCACCGCACTGGCCTTGAATGGGGTGTCCAGGAGTTGCACCGGTCCAGAGCTGGGCGAGGCCTCTGAGGGCGGCAGTGCTCCCTGGGCAGGAATGCTTTCTCTCGGAGACGCCTGGGCTGTATCTCTGGGGACAAAGAAGAAGAAGAAATTTATTTTTCCTGAACCGTTTAGAGCTTTATAGGTGACTAGCCATCCCCTGCCACGCATTGCTGTGGCCCACATGGGGGTTCTGTGTGGGAGGTTTGGCCCAATTCCATCGTTGGTGGGGTTCAGAATGCTCTGTGATTGTAGGTGAACTATAAATCCCAGCAACTACAACTCCCAAATGTCAAGATTGTATTTCCCCCAAACTCCACCAGTGTTCACATTTGGGCATATTGAGTATTCGTGTTGAGTTTGGTCCAGATCCATCATTGTTTGAGTCCACAGTGATCCCTGGATGTAGGTGAACTACAACTCCAAAACCAAAGGATACTGCCCACAAAACCCTTCTAGTATTTTCTGTTGGTCATGGGAGAACTGTGTGCCAGGTTTGGTTCAAGTCCATCGTTGGTGGGGTTCAGAATGCTCTTTGATTGTAGGTGAACTATAAATCCCAGCAACTACAACTCCCAAATGTCAAGATTCTATTTTCCCCAAACTCCACCAGTGTTCACATTTGGGCATATTGAGTATTCGTGTAGAGTTTGGTCCAGATCCATCATTGTTTGAGTCCACAGTGATCTCTGGATGTAGGTGAACTACAACTCCAAAACCAAAGGACACTGCCCACCAAACCTTCCAGTGTTTTCTGTTGGTCATGGGAGAACTGTGTGCCAAGTTTGGTTCAAGTCCATCCTTGGTGGGGTTCAGAATGCTCTTTGATTGTAGGTGAACTATAAATCCCAGCAACTACAACTCCCAAATGACAAAATCAGAATTTTTTTTTAGTGAAGGACATACATTGGGTTGTTAGGTGTCTTCTGTCCAAATTTGGTGTCAATTTGTCCAGTGGTTTTTGAGTTCTGTTAATCCCACAAACAAACATTACATTTTTATTTATATAGCTAACTTGCACCTTGTATTAGGACTAGAAACTTATTGGCAGCTGTTTAAACACAAGAGTTGACCACTCCCTGTAACTTGCTCCAGTTAACAATCTGGACCACCTGTAGTTTCTGAACTGTCTTCAAGGGCAGCCCTACGTAGAGTGCATTACAGTAGTCTAACCTTGAGGAAACTAATTTATTTATTTATTTATTTATTTATTTATTTACGGCATTTATTTGCCGCCCTTCTCACCCCGAAGGGGACTCAGAGCGGCTTACAATATATATTTTCATATAATATATTATATTATTAGCATAGTACAATATCAGTATATATTACTATATTCCACTATACCATTATATTGTAATATTATTAGTAATATTACATGTAATGTAAATATATAATTATAATATTGAATTATTATTACCAGTATTATATTGTATTACATTATAATATTATAAATTATATTATGTATATACAATATACTATATTATATTATTAGTAAAGACAAGGTGTGGACTACCATGCCCTAGTTACCTCTTTCCTCCCACCCTGGACATTCCACAGGTATATTATAGACTCGACTTGCTTGACTACCATCAGATCCTTTGAAGGTGCCAGTAGTCACAATACAATGTCTAAGACTCGTCTCCCTTCGGAGACTGGCTTTCTGCGTCCCTCACCCATTCCCACTCGCCATGTGCTCCAAGGCCAGCAGGTTCTCTGTGCCACCGCCGCCGCTGCCGCCCCCTCCATCCTCCTCCTCCTCTTCTTCTTCCTCATCTTGAACATCGGTGATGTCGCGGATCACGATGGAGTCCTCGCACTCTGGATCGTGGTCTGAAATGACGGCCTACGGGCACAACGGCACTCGTTTAACCTCTGCTCTTTCCAACATTTAATTTAAAAAACACCCTGTTCTGATTACATTACATCCTGCCATACATCAAGGGAACCACTGATCGCATAGGGAAGCTGATGAGGAAACACAACATACAAACAATCTACAAACCCACCAAGAAAATCCAACCAATGCTACGTTCAGCAAAGGACAAGAGGGATCCTCTCACCTCTGCAGGAGTCTACCATTGTATACCATGCAGCTGTGGACAAGTCTACATAGGGACCACCAAACGCAGCGCCCAGACACGCATCAAGGAACATGAAAGGCACTGCAGACTCCTTCAACCAGAGAAGTCAGCCATAGCAGAGCACCTGAGGAACCAGCCTGGACACAGCATATTATTTGAGAACACAGAAATGCTGGACCACACCAACAACCACCATGTCAGACTACACAGAGAAGCCATTGAAATCCACAAGCATGTGGACAATTTCAACAGAAAGGAAGAGACCATGAAAATGAATAAAATTTAAACAGAAAGGAAGAGACCATGAAAATGAACAAAATCTGGCTACCAGTATTAAAAAACTCTAAAATTATAACAGCTAAACAACAGAGAGGAAAAAACCAGGCACAGATTAACACCTCCCAGCAACAGGTTTTCCCAGGCTCAGGCAGGCCTTCAAATGCTAATGAAGGTGATCAGCTAAACATTCACACCTAACTGCAGCAGGGAAGAGCTCCTTGTCCCACCCTGGTCATTCCACAGATATATAAACCCATTTTCCTACTTCCAACAGACCTCACTACCTCTGAGGATGCTTGCCATAGATGCAGGCGAAACGTCAGGAGAAATGCCTCTAGAACATGGCTCTATAGCCCGAAAAAACCCACAACAGCCCTGTTCTGATGTTTACCTTCACACAAAGGACACTGATTTCTATTTCAATTCCAAGCTATGTTCAAAATGATCAGCAGAGCATTTGATATTCAGCCGAGACAGGTGGTCTCACTGGCAATGATATTTACATTCGCAACTGCTGGGAATTTCTTTTCTGGGATGCTTGAACTGTACATTTTTAACATTATTGTTGCTATCTTAACCAATTTTTAAGAATATAACAGCATTTTATCCCAAGGTGATTCATTCTGCTTTGATTTATTCTTGTCACCAAGTTCTTATCTTGCTTGAGAAATGTTATAAACTGTGTCGGGTCCCATGCTCGGAGAAAAGCAATAACACTATTATCGATCAATCATCTGTCTATCATCTATCTGTCATGTCTCCATCCATATATCCTCTATCTACAATCTATCCTCTATCTGTCATTTATCTATCATTTATCTATCATCAATCATCTGCCAATCATCTAACTTCTATCTTTCATCTGTCTGTTTATCATCTGTCTGTGATCTATTTTTCTACTATCTATCTACGATCTATCATCCATCCTCTGTCTTTCATTTATCTATTTATCATCTATCTATCATCTCTTTATCAATCATCTGTCAATCATCTATCTATCATCTGTGTATTTATCATATGTCTATGATCTATCTTTCTACTATCTATCTATCATCTATTGTCTATCATCTATCATCTGTCTATCTTCTATCTGTCTATCTATCCATCCATCTATCATCTCTTTATCATTTATCTATCATCTGTCAATCATCTATCATCTGTCTATCATCTGCCAGTCATCTCTCTTCTATCATCTGTCTATTTCTCATATGTCTATGATCTACCTTTCTACTATCTTTCATCTATCTATCATCTATTCTATCATCTATCAATCTATCATTTGTCTATCTATCATATGTCTATATTCTATCTGTTAACTATCTATCTATCCATCTATCTATGATCTATCATCTATATCTATCATTTATCTAACATCTATCATTTAGCATTTATCTATCATCTGTCAATCATCTATCATTTGTCTATCATCTGCCAGTCAACTATCTTCTCTCATCTGCCTATTTCTCAAATGTCTATGATCTATCTTTCTACTGTCATCTATTGTCTATCATCTATCAATCTATCATCTGTCTGTTTATCATGTTTATCATCTATCTATCATCTATCTACGATCTATAATCTATCCTCTGTCATTTACCTATTTATCATCTGTCAATCTTCTATCACCTGTCTATCATCTGCCTATCATCTATCTTCTATCATCTATTTATCCTACGTCCATGATCTATCTTTCTACTATCTATCTATCATCTATTAATCTATCATCTGCCTATTTATTGTCTGTCATCTATTAATCTATCTATCACCTATTTATCCTTTATCTATCATCTGTCAATCATCTATTATCTATCATCTGCCAATCACCTATCTTCTATCTATCATCTGTCTATTCATCATATGTTTATGATCCATCTTTCTACCATATATCTACAATCTATAATCTATCCTGTATGTGTCATTTATCTATTTATCATCTATTATCTACCTATCATCTCTTTATCATTTATCTATCATCTGTCAATCACCTATTATCTATCATCTGCCAATCACCTATCTTCTATCTATCATCTGTGTATTCATCATGTATCTATGATCTATCTTTCTACTATCTATCTATCTATCTATCTATCTATCTATCTATCTATCTATCTATCTATCTATCATCTATTGTCTATCATCCATCGATCTATCATCTATCATCTATCATCTGTCTATTTATCACCTGTCTATCATCTATGCATCACCTATTTATTTATTTATCTCATGATTACTCTTATAATGGCTTCTAATTCGACTGATGTTGGGAACATCAAACAATCAGGATGGTTATCATTAGTAGTCACCTCACAACCTCTGAGGATGCCTGCCATAGATGCAGGCAAAACATTAGGAGAGAATGCTTCTGGAACTCACAACAACCCAATGACACCAGCTATGAAAGCCTTCAACAATACATTGGTATTGGTTGACTCAGCATTCACAACAACAATAACAACAACAAGGAGGAGAACTCACAGTTTCACGATTCTCTACTGGAATGCGTACGTAGGAGCGGCTGAACTTCGAAGGAGAGCCACCTGAAGCGTCGGTCAAAGGCCTACGAGGAAAAGGACAATATGGAATAAGAGGCATTAACCATACTCAGCCACTCAGAGTTATACACATATATAAAGGCAAGTCTCAGCGGATTAAAATAATAAAGGGACAACGGTTGTCTATGGCAACTCGCCTGTTCTTTCTGAATTTTAATTGATGGGAAAAATGAAATGGAAACTGTGACGCCCTTGTTATGACTTTCTTGCATGGAAAGCATGCGCCTGGCAGCATGTTCCAGGGTGTGCCCATTGCCTTTGGGGAAAACATGGCTGGTTGGGACAAAGCACGCTTATGCAGAAAAGGAAAAAAAGTTGGGTGCGAGCATCTGTTCCGCTCTGCAAGATGAACATCTGTATTCCAAAAGCATTTTTAGTCCAAAGGACTCCTGAATGGGCAGTTCTTGCGATCTTTCGGGCTTCTTTCTCTACAATACTCCCAAGAGGGAAGTTGTGACACTGAATAGGCCCAAACGCATTACTATAATACTATAATAATTATATATTTTTAATTTTAATATATGTGTATGGGTGTGTGTGTAAGTGTATGTATGTGTGTGTGTATACACGTTATATATATACACATATGTGTGTGTGTGTGTATGTATGTGTGTATGTATGTATGTATGTATATGTATGTATGTATTTGTGTGTGTGTGTATATACACATTATATATATATATATATATATATATATATAATTTTTAAATATGTTTATGGGGGTGTGCGTGTGTGTGTATGTAAGTGTATGTATGTATGTATGAATCTGTGTGTGTGTATATATATATATGCACATATTATATATATAATTATATATATAATTTTTAAATATGTGTATGGGTGTGTGTGTGTATGTAAGTGTATGTATGTATGTGTGTGTGTATATATATATACACACACATTGTATATATATTATATTTATATGATTATATAAATATATATATATAATTTTTAAATATGTGTATGCGTGTGTGTGTATGTAAGTGTATGTATGTATGTATATATATATATATACACACGCATTATATATATAATATAATGATTGGGAAAGGCGTACGGCAAGGCTGCATCCTCTCACCCAACCTCTTTAACTTGTATGCAGAACACATCATGCGAGGATGTGCGGGGTGATTAATGCAAAGCTGGGGTGAAAATTGCTGGAAGAAACATTAACAACCTCAGATATGCAGATGACACCACTCTGATGGCCGAAAGCGAGGAGGAGCTGAGGAGCCTTCTAATCAACGTGAAAGAAGAAAGCGCAAAAGCTGGGTTGCAGCTAAACATCAAAAAAACCAAGATTATGGCAACAAGAATGATTGACAACTGGAAAATAGAGGGAGAAAATGTGGAAATAAAGCCCAGCTGCTCACTGGAGGGAAGAAAAAAAAAAAAAAAAACAAAAAAAAAAAGAGGCAACAAGAATGATTGACAACTGGAAAATAGAAGGAGAAACCGTGGAGGCCGTGACAGACTTTGTATTTCTAGGGGCAAAGATTACTGCAGATGCAGACTGTAGCCAGGAAATCAGAAGACGCTTACTTCTTGGGAGGAGAGCAATGTCCAGTCTCGATAAAATAGTGAAGAGTAGAGACATCAGACTGACAACAAAGATCCGCCTAGTCAAAGCCATGGTATTCCCTGTAGTAACCTACGGATGTGAGCTGGACCATAGGGAAGGCTGAGCGAAGGAAGATAGATGCTTTTGAACTGTGATGTTGGAGGAAAGTGCTGAGAGTGCCTTGGACTGCAAGAAGATCCAACCAGTCCATCCTCCAGGAAATAAAGCCCGACTGCTCATTGGAGGGAAAGATACTAGAGACAAAGTTGAAGTACTTTGGCCACATCATGAGGAGACAGGCAAAGCCTAGAGAAGACAATTATGCTGGGGAAAATGGAAGGCAAAAGGAAGAGGGGCCGACCAAGGGCAAGATGGATGGATGGCATCCTTGAAGTGACTGGACTGACCTTGAGGGAGCTGGGGGTGGTAACGGCCGACAGGGAGCTCTGGCGTGGGCTGGTCCATGAGGTCACGAAGAGTCGGAGACGACTGAACGAATGAACAACAAAATATATATGATTATATATGTATGGGTGTGTGTATGTAAGCGTATGTATGTATGTATACGTATGCATGTGTGTGTGTGTATATATATATATATGTGCGTGTGTGTGTATATATAAACACGTAATATCTAAGCTCATACTATAATATAACAGGGCTGTTCCTACTTACAAAGCCTTGAGATTTTACATAAAATCAAATGGATAAAAAACAATGAGGATCAATCAATACAACATCAATACAAAAGATCACAGAATCTTTGACTGCTGGTATTTTTATGATGTCGTAAAACATCACCCTGCTTTAAGCGGTTCCTAACTTCTTTACACATAGCTATGCTCTTTTCGAACTGATTAGGTGGACAGTAAGCTAGGCTTAACAGTCAGGTGCTCAATCCGACTTGGGCTTCAAACCCGTCAGCTTCCGGTTGGCAGTGATCTATTGCAGCTGGTGATTAACTGTAGCTGTGCTACGGCCCGGCCCAATTGCTTATGTGCTCATCCTGAGCTAAATGATGAATCAAACAGGATCCTAAACTAAAAACTATTTCCAAAGAAGGACTGCACAATTAAACAGGAAATAACCAAGAACAGAACACTTTTTTTTCAAATTCAGTTACATAGCGTAATAATAACAATTTCAAAGGAGAGCCATAAAAGTTGCCCAAAGCGAAGCACCTTTGCTTTTCTCTGTCCACCTTTTCCTACTTTGAAACCTGGTTGCTGTAAGAGGAATATTCAGTTTGGGATATTTATTTATTTATTTACAGTTTTTATATTCTGCCCTTCTCACCCCGCAGGGGACTCAGGGCGGATTACAGTATACACATATATGGCAAACATTCAATGCCAGTTTGACAGACAACGAATACAGACAATACACAGAGGCTATTTAACTTTTTTTTTCTGGCCGCCAGGGGAGTTGCTGCTTTCATCGTCCATCAGCGACACCGATGAAGTTCTTCCGCATTCCACATCCCGGAGTTTTCTTTATGGCCTCATAAATTAATTTAGCCTCCCACACAAGGTGGTGCCTTATTTTCCTACTTGACAGATGCAACTGTCTTTCGGGTTGCAAAGGTCGACAACAGGCTACACAATGGCTGGACACCCACTCCAGCCCAGGCTGGCTTCGAACTCATGACCTTTTGGTCAGAGTGATCTTAATGCAGCTGACACTCAGCCAGCTGCGCCACAATCCGGAATCAATGGGAACGGGGGGATTTGGATGCCCAGAAAAAAAACGCAACCGGCAATTACCGTTTCCTTTTCAGCCCCAGAATGCAGTTTCCTCTCATCAACCCCAAGATGAATTCAAGGATCTGCAGGAGAGAAGAGAGGAGGGGAAAAATTAGGAACTCTATAACAATGGAAGAGCAGACTTGGCTGGAATGAGCCTCACAAACTAGGAAAGGAAGACTTTTCCGCTGCTAAAAGTTTCATGGTGTTTCTCAAAGCCTCATTGAACGCTCCAATTATTGGAAAGTCCATAATCTATTGGAAATTCCAGTGCACCATAACCTTATTGCAAAGGTAAAAATGATGTCACCTCCGTTTGGCAAATGTGAATCTCTATGAACGTAGAGACCACGTGAAAACCACAAGTCAGGAATGGTGTGAAGTCAAACCTTAAGACAAGTGATATTCATAAAACATTAACGTAATAGCACACAGGTAGCTCAGCTGTTAGACTGAGGAACCACATCTTTAAACAGCCAGGGATAAAGACAGACTATTATAAAAATATATCTGGTTAGCAGAGAATAGTTGTTTAAAGCAGAATTTGCAGTTGCCCAAAAGATATACACTCCCTTAAAACATGCACTCAAGAGACAAAACAAAGTAGTCTTCTTTGAAAAATAACATATCTTGTTTACTAACAAACATGTATATATTCAGTATACAGCCACATAGTCTTTTCAGTGTCTTTAAGCCTATCTGTACTCACTCCAGTCCATGAACACACACATCCACCTCCAATGAAGTTGTAAACAGGCTTACTACATTGAAACCCATGAACACAAATAATAATAATAATAATAATAATAATAATAATCCTGACCTAACGATCGTGTTAAAAAACGAAGTATGGATTAGGTTCTTGTGGGTTTTTTCGGGCTATAGAGCCATGTTCTAGAGGCATTTCTCCTGACGTTTCGCCTGCATCTATGGCAAGCATCCTCAGAGGTTGTGAGGTCTGTTGGAAGTAGGAAAATGGGTTTATATATCTGTGGAATGGCTGGGGTGGGGCAAGGAGCTCTTCCCTGCTGCAGTTAGGTGTGAATGTTTAGCTGATCACCTTCATTAGCATTTGAAGGCCTGCCTGAGCCTGGGAAAATCTGTTGCTGGGAGGTGTTAATCTGTGCCTGGTTTTTTCCTCTCTGTTGTTTAGCTGTTATAATTTTAGAGTTTTTTAATACTGGTAGCCAGATTTTGTTCATTTTCATGGTCTCTTCCTTTCTGTTGAAATTGTCCACATGCTTGTGGATTTCAATGGCTTCTCTGTGTAGTCTGACATGGTGTTTGTTGGTGTGGTCCAGCATTTCTGTGTTCTCAAATAATATGCTGTGTCCAGGCTGGTTCATCAGGTGCTCTGCTATGGCTGATTTCTCTGGTTGAAGGAGTCTGCAGTGCCTTTCATGTTCCTTGATGCGTGTCTGGGCGCTGCGTTTGGTGGTCCCTCTGTAGACTTGTCCACAGCTGCATGGTACACGGTAGACTCCTGCAGAGGTGAGAGGATCCCTCTTGTCCTTTGCTGAACGTAGCATTTGTTGGATTTTCTTGGTGGGTTTGTAGATTGTTTGTATGTTGTGTTTCCTCATCAGCTTCCCTATGCGGTCAGTGGTTCCCTTGATGTATGGCAGGAACACTTTTCCTCTGGGTGGATCTTCATCTTGACTCTCGTGGCTTGTTCTTGGTCTTGCAGCTCTCCTGATGTCTGAGGTGGAGTCTCCCTTGGCCTGGAGAGCCCAGTTGAGGTGGTTCAGTTCATCTTGGAGGAGGTGGGCTTCGCAGATTCTTTTTGCACGGTCTGCCAAGGCTTTAATGGTGCTTCTTTTTTGACTTGGGTGATGGTTGGAGTTTTTATGTAGATATCTATCTGTGTGTGTGGGTTTTCTGTAGACGGTGTGACCCAATTGTGGATCTGGTTTGCGGATGACGAGGACATCTAGAAAAGGCAGTCTTCCTTCATTTTCTTTTTCCATGGTGAAGTATGGATTGTCAATGTTGCAATCCCAGGTGACAGCAGGATTGAACAACTGGAAAAGCTGATACAATATAAGGATTTAAAGATCGAACTCTGGCACAAGCCAGTAAAGGTGGTCCCAGTGGTGATTGGCACACTGGGTGCAGTGCCTCAAGACCTTGGCCTGCACTTAAACACAATCAGCGCTGACAAAATTACCATCTGCCAGCTGCAAAAGGCTACCCTACTGGGATCTGCACGCATTAATCACCGATACATCACACAGTCCTAGACACTTGGGAAGGGTCCAACGTGGGATCCAATACAACAACCGGCTTAATGATCTTATCTGCTGTGGACTCATCTGGTTGTGTTTCAAATAATAATAATAATAATAATAATAATAATAATAATAATAATAATAATAGAAACAACTGGAAAAGCTGACACGATATGAGGATTTAAAGATCGAACTGCAAAGACTCTGGCACAAGCCAGTCAAGGGGTCCCAGTGGTGATCGGCACACTGGGTGCAGTGCCTCAAGACCTTGGCCTGCACTTAAACACAATCGGTGCTGACAAAATTACCATCTGCCAGCTGCAAAAGGCCACCTTACTGGGATCTGCACGCATTATTCGCCGATACATCACACAGTCCTAGACACTTGGGAAGGGTCCAACGTGTGATCCAATACAACAGCCGGCTTAATGATCTTATCTGCTGTGGACTCATCTTGTTGTGTTTCAAACAATAATAATAATAATAATAATAATAATAATAATAATAATAATAATAATAGTAAATACATCACACAGTCCTAGACACTTGGGAAGTGTCGACGTGGGATCCAATACAATAGCCAGGAGAGTGTCTGCTGTGGACTCATCCTGTTGTGTTAATAATAATAATAATAATAGTAAATACATCACACAGTCCTAGACACTTGGGAAGTGTCGACGTGGGATCCAATACAATAGCCAGGAGAGTGTCTGCTGTGGACTCATCCTGTTGTGTTAATAATAATAATAATAATAGTAAATACATCACACAGTCCTAGACACTTGGGAAGTGTCGACGTGGGATCCAATACAATAGCCAGGAGAGTGTCTGCTGTGGACTCATCCTGTTGTGTTAATAATAATAATAATAATAGTAAATACATCACACAGTCCTAGACACTTGGGAAGTGTCGACGTGGGATCCAATACAATAGCCAGGAGAGTGTCTGCTGTGGACTCATCCTGTTGTGTTAATAATAATAATAATAATAGTAAATACATCACACAGTCCTAGACACTTGGGAAGTGTCGACGTGGGATCCAATACAATAGCCAGGAGAGTGTCTGCTGTGGACTCATCCTGTTGTGTTAATAATAATAATAATAGTACTTTATTTATACCCCTCCACCATCTCCTTGAAGGGATTCAGGACAGCTAACATCAGGCCAAGCACAAGTAATTACAATAAAGCAAAATAAAATGCATACAAAACAAACATCCACCTCACTAAAGTCCAAAAGCAAACTGAACACACACACAAATGGAGTCCTGAGTTTGCACATGCTCAGTACAATCACACCTACAGCTCCTCCCACATCAAAGAGGTAAGCCAAACTAGCAAATCAACATTCACACAGAATGCAAGTTAACAACTGTATATACATTAACAAACAGTTAGTGGAGGCTCGGAAGGATGCTATTTCCAACAGCAATGACTCCGCCTGTGCTCTTGAGCCTCAGGAGAAGGGTACCTTGGACAAGAGCTGCTGCTGCTGGCTGTGCTTCTGGCGCAGGGACACCACTTCTTTCCAAAGGGCCTTGTTTTCCCTGGAAAAAAGAAGAGGATCCCAATCAGCCAAATAAGTAATGAAGGGATTTGCTCCGTACAGACCTGGAACAACCCACAGATTCAAAGACCTACTGTATATACTCGAATATAAGCCTAGTTTTTCAGCCCCTTTTTTAGGCTGAAAAAGCTCCCCTCGGCTTATACTCGAGTCAAGGTTATTTATTCTTTTACTCTGTTATTAGTATTATTTTTATTTCATGTATTATTTTACTCCCTTTATTATTATTACATTTACATTATTTTACCTTATTATTATTACATTTATTATTTTACACTATTTATGATTATTATTACATTTATTATTTTACTTTATTGTTGCATTTATTACTTTATTATTACATTTATTATTTTACACTATTATTACTGTTATGACTGCATTTCCATTATTTTACTTTATAATTATTATTACATTTATTATTTTACTCTCTTTATTATTGTTGGAAGGATACATTCACCTTGAAGAAAGTTAGAATAATTATTTAATCAGAGTTGGGCAGTCTTGGTATATATTTTTATTTTGAAATTTACCAGTAGTAGCTGCATTTCCCACCCTTGGCTTATACTTGAGTCAAGATGTTTTCCCAGTTTTTTGCCATAAAATTAGGTGCCTCAGCTTATAGTCGGGTCGGCTTATACTTGAGTATATACGGTAATATCAAAGTCACATTAAATATATTCCTGGGTTTGGGCTACCTATATGTGGCCAAGCTGGTTGGGAGTCAGCTGCATTAAAAGCAGTACTGACCAAAAGGTCATGAGTTCGAAGCCAGCCCGGGTCGGAGTAAGCTCCCAACCACTTGTCTAGCTTGCTGTCGACCTTTGCAGCCTGAAAGACAGTAGGAAATTTAGATACCGCTTATGTGGAGAGGCTAATTTAACTAATTTACGATGCAATAAAAATCTCCAGCAGCGTGCAAAAGAATGAGGAAGTACTCCATCGGGGTCATAAGTGGACTGGGCCCAAACCCAGGAAGGTTGCTATTCCCAACACGAATGACTCCGCCTGGGAGCGGTGCCAGCACCTTTTCATACTCGCCAGCTTAAGGTCCATGTGGTTCTGCTGCTCCCGCATCCCCTGGACTTCGGAGAGCGCCTTCTGCAATTCATCCTGAGGGACCTTCAGCTCTTCGGCCCTCACCGCCGACACCTGCGGGGGACAAGGAGGCGTAAGGGGCCTCGTACAAGGCCATTATAGGACTGCGGTGGAACCTCGACTTAGGGGCCGCGGTGGCACAATGGGTTAAACCCTTGCACTGCTGAATGGCTGACCTGAAGGTTGGCAGTTCGAATCCATGGGATGGGGCGAGCTCCCGCTGTTAGCCCTAGCTCCTGCCAACCTAGCAGTTCGAAAACATGCAAATGTGAATAGATCAATAGATACCGCCTTGGCAGGAAAAGGCAAAAAGACAATGCATGTTGTCACGTCAACGACACAACTGGAAAGTGTCTATGGACAACGCAGGATCCTCAGTTGGAAATGGAGATGAGCACCTTGCTCAGAGCCAGAGATGAGCACCGCCTCCAGAGCCGGAAATGAGAGGAGAAGCCTTTGCCTATTTGTGTTTCATTGTATTTCATTGTAACAAGTCATTAAATGTTTGCCAGTGTCTGTTTATATGCTATAATCCACTCTTGAGTCCTCTCGTGGAGAAGAACAGAATATAAATAAAGCATTATTATTGTTATTGTTACAGGAGCGCCAGAAGGAGCACTAGCACCAGAAGACAGGACTTTAGGTCTTAAAAGGAGCAACCTCTGGGCCTTGTGCTCATCTCCATTTGGGGAGATTGCTGCCTGCTTTACTCTTGTCCACTTTGAGGAACTTTGCATTAGTGGATTTGGGGTAGTTTTTATCCCTGGTCTGTTTGGCTTCATGAAGAGAGAGGGAACGAGAGAGAAAGAGAAAGAAGGAGGTTGACATATGCACAGTAGGAAGAAGAAGAAAAGGATGCTTCTCCCTCTTTGCTTTGTGCTTCTTTGTGCTTCCTTATCACAATCTGGTGCTTCTACCCTTTCTCAGGAGCACGTCCCCTATTGCTCTATGCTACTCCATCAAGCCAAATCCACAAGCCAGAATGCAGGTCAGAGGCTTACGCCGCGACCTGCTAGGATTACAGAGCTATTTCCATCATCATCACCAGGCAGCAGGAACGAGGTCCATGGCCACAGGGCAGGGTTGCCAGGTAGCATCTAGATGCGCGAACTGTTCTTCTGCCATTCCATCATCCTACGTTTCCCTACAATAAAGGCCAGCTCCCAAATTGAAGGGGTTCTTCAATTTGGGAGAACCCCTACAAGGCAAGTATTTCCCCACAAATTGTATGGAACAACGACAACATTTGCGCTTCTGCCTGCAACACAGTTGCAGTCATCTGCCGCTTTCTGAACAAGCAGCCATTCAATTCCCATCCGTATTCACTACTTTTAGGAGTCTTTGCTAAACAAACATGGCAAAGGGGGGACCGTACCTTCCGCTTAATGTTTGCCAACAGGTTGGCTTTGCCTCGCTTGAAATGCGGGTGCTGGAACTCGATGGCGCAGCTCTTGTCGGAGGCCATCATGCCGTTCTCCAGCGCAATCACCTTCCGGAAGCCGTCTGCAAAAGTTTCATTTTAAGAGCCATGACATTTAATTCTGTTTTAAGGTTTGAGGATTTTAAATGGTTTTGAAATGAGCTTTGTGTCTCCTTGCAGAGAGAAAAAGCAGGGTATAAATAAATATCATAATAATAATTTCATCACATTGGTAAAGGACGACCACCTCACCTGCCTCATAGGAAACCTGCTACAAAACAGGAGCTTTTTTGTTGAGTTTCAGGGCCAGAGAAGCAGATGGCGGAAACAGAAGACCGGCCTGCCTCAGGGGAGCGTGCTTGCTCCATCCATGTCCAACATTTACACAAATGACCAACCACTGCCAGAAGGGACAGAGAGCTTCATCTATGCAGATGATCATACCATCACTGCTCAGTCAGGGAGCTTTGAGATGGTAGAACAGAAGCTCTCCGAAGCTCTAGTTGCCCTTACTGCCTATTACAGGGAAAACCAACTGATCCCTAATCCATCTAAAACACAGACATGTGCTTTACTCCTTAAGAATAGACAAGCATCCTGAGCTCTGAGGATTATTACCTGGGAAGGAAGGAATCCCACGGGAGCATTGCAGCGCACCCAAATACCTGGGAGTCACTCTGGACCGTTCTCTGACCTGCAAGTAGCACTGCCTGAAGATCAAGCAAAAAGTGGGCGCTAGAAACAATATCATATGAAAGCTGACTGGCACAACCTGGGGATCACAACCAGATACAGTGAAGACTGAGTACGCATGCCCAGTGTGGAACACATCTCACCACACTAAAACAGTGGATGTGGCTCTTAATGAGACATGCCGCATTATCACGGGGTGTCTGTGCCCTACACCACTGGAGAAACTACACTGCTTAGCCGATATTGCACCACCTGACATCCGCCGGGAAGTAGCAGCCAATAGTGAAAGGACCAAGGCAGTGACATCTCCAGCTCATCCCCTGTTTGGGTATCAACCAGCACGTCAACAACTTAAATCTAGAAATAATCTTCTAAGATCTACAGAGACACTCGCTGGAACACCTCAGCAAGCGAGAGTCCAAAAGTGGCAGGCTCAAACCCAGAACCTCAACCAATGGCTGATACCAAATGAGAGACTCCCCCCTGGGCACACAGAAGAAGATGGGGCGACTTGGAAGGCGCTGAACAGACTGCGCTCTGGCACCACGAGATGCAGAGCCAACCTCAAGAAATGGGGCCACAAAGTGGAATCCACGACATGCGAGTGTGGAGAAGAGCAAACCACTGACCATCTGCTGCAATGCACCCTGAGCCCTGCCACGTGCACCATGGAGGACCTTCTTGTGGCAACACCAGAAGCACTCCAAGGGGCCAGAGACTGGTCAAAGGACATTTAATCAACTACCAAGCTTGCAAATTTTGTGTTTTGTCTGTTTGTTTGTTTTGTTCTGGTAGAAACGTAATACAATTGACTGGTTGCCCTGACACGACAAATAAATAAATAAATCACATTGGTGTAGGTTTCTAGAGGAGTCTCAAAGGCTCAGCTACTGCCTGGAAATGTTGAGTCATGGGAAGCAAAGAGTTGGGATGATGTTGACAAAAGGAGCCCTGCTTGTAAATAGCGACGGAGAAACCCTCGGAGCTGTTTTTAGCACCGAAAAGGGCGTGTTGCCATCTTCCTGCCAAGAGGCCAAGAAGATGGGGATTTATAACCCAGGGACAAAAATTGTGTCACCTAGTGTTATTGGGTCTATTGATTTTAGATCAATGCTTCCCAAACTGAGCTTTTGGTCACCGTCGTTTGAGACAATGAACTTACAGATGTTGAGCTGCCGGATGAAGCTGGACAGGTTGCTGTGCTTGAAGTACTTGGGCAGCAGCTCTTTGGCAAACCGCTGCTCGTCCAGGATGCAAAAGTTCTGCCCGTTCTAGAAAAAGAGAGGAACACAAACACTAAGAAGGTAAACATTGCAGAGCCTCCTCCTCCTGAGCAACCGCGTTGCAATTCAAATCGACCATGAGAAAAATTCAAAGCTGCATGTCGAGGCCTCTCCCATGTGCCAAGAAGGACTCTGGCACAGTCTGGAGCCTGAGAGATAGAATTCATCTTTCCCTTCCTTTTCTTTCTCCTCCTCCCCTTCCTCTTCCCTTCTTTTTAATTTCCTTCTTCTTCTTTCTTCCCTTCCTTCCTCTTCCCTTCTTTCTCGTTCTTTCCTTCCCACCCTTCAAACCTTTTCCCTTTCCTTTCTCATTCTTACTTTCCGCCTTTTCTTTCTTTCCCTCCTTTCCCTTTTTCCTTCTCTTCTTCTGTCTTTCCTTCCTTCCTCTTGTTTCTCATTCTTTCCTTCCTGCCCCTCATACATTTTCCCTTTCCTCTCTCATCCTTCTTTCCTTCCCTCCTTTTCCTTTCTTTCTTCTCCCCTTCTTTCTTGTTCTTTCCCTCCAACCCCTCAAACCTTTTCCCTTTCCTTTCTCATTCTTACTTTCCGCCTTTTCTTTCTTTCTCTCCTTTCCCTTTCTTCTTCTCTTCTTCTTTCTTCCCTTCCTTCCTCTTGTTTCTCATTCTTTCCTTCCTGCCCCTCATACATTTTCCCTTTCCTCTCTTATCCTTCTTTCCTTCCCTCCTTTTCCTTTCTTTCTTCTCCCCTTCTTTCTTGTTCTTTCCCTCCAACCCCTCAAACCTTTTCCCTTTCCTTTCTCATTCTTACTTTCCGCCTTTTCTTTCTTTCTCTCCTTTCCCTTTCTTCTTCTCTTCTTCTTTCTTCCCTTCCTTCCTCTTGTTTCTCATTCTTTCCTTCCTGCCCCTCATACATTTTCCCTTTCCTCTCTTATCCTTCTTTCCTTCCCTCCTTTTCCTTTCTTTCTTCTCCCCTTCTTTCTTGTTCTTTCCTTCCCACCCCTCAAACCTTTTCCCTTTCCTTTCTCATTCTTACTTTCCTCCTTTTTTTCTTTCTCTCCTTTTCCTTTCTTCTTCTCTTCTTCTTTCTTTCCCCCTCCCAATGTCCCTTCTTTCTTCCCTCCCTTCCTCTTCCCTTCATTCTTGTTCTTTCCTTCCTGCCCCTCATACCTTTCCCCTTTCCTGTCTCATCCTTCTTTCCTTCCCTCCTTTTTTTTCTTTTTTCTCCCTTCCCTCCCTTTCTTCCAATGTCCCTTCTTCCTTCCCTTCATTCTCATTCTTTCCTTCCTGCCCCTCATACCTTTTCCCTTTCCTTTCTCATTCTTACTTTACTTCTTTTTCCTTTCTCTCCTTTTTCTTTCTTCTTTCTCTCCCCCACATATCTCTTCTTTCTTCCCTTCCTTCCTCTTCCCTTCTTTCTCGTTCTTTCCTTCCTGCCCCTCATACCTTTTCCCCTTTCCTTTCTCATTCTTCTTTCCTTCCTTCCTTTTCCTTTCCCTCCCTTTCTTCCATGTCCCTTCTTCCTTCCCTTCTTTTTCGTTCACTCCTTCCTGCCCCTCAAACCTTTTCCCTTTCCTTTCTCATTCTTACTTTCCTCCTTTTTCCTTTCTCTCCTTTTCCTTTGTTCTTCTCTTCTTCTTTCGCCCCCCAAATGTCCCTTCCTTCTTCCCTTCCACCCTTTGTCCCTTCATTCTTCCCTTCCTTCCTCTCCTCTTCTTTCTCATTCTTTCCTTCCTGCCCCTCATACCTTTCCCCCTTTCTTTTCTCATCCTTCTTTCCTTTCCTCCTTTTCCTGTCTTTCTTCTCCCTTCCCTCCCTTGCTTCCAATATCCCTTCTTCCTTCCCCCTCAAACCTTTTCCCTTTCCTTTCTCATTTTTACTTTACTCTTCTCTTTTCTTTCTCCCCCCCCCCCCCCCAAAATGTCCCTTCTTTCTTCCCTTCCTTCTTCTTCCCTTCTTTCTTGTTCTTTCCTTCCGGCCCTTCAAACCTTTTCCCTTTCCTATCTCATCCTACTTTCCTTCCTTTCTTCTCCCTTCCCTCCCTTCCTCGCAATGTCCCTTCTTCCTTCCCTTCTTCCTCGTTCTTTCCTTCCATCCCCTTATACCTTTCCCATTTTCCTTTCCCATCCTTCCTTCCCTCATTTTCCTTTCTCCCCCTCATTCCCCCTCCTTTTTGCTTTCTTTCCTTCCCCTCATTCACCAAATAGCGGACAATCCACTTCGCTCCTTTTCTTTCCCAGTAACATCACAGAGGGCCACTTCACCCTATCCAAAGCCAATCCATTCCTTTCTTTCTGCTATGGGCCCAAAAGAGGTGGTGTTTTCTTTCTTTCTTTTTTTAAAATTCAAAGTCTATTCAAATTCGATTCGTTTCCTTTCTTTCCCGTTGGCATCACAGGGGGTCACTTCACCCTATCCAAAGCCCATCCTTTCCTCTTTTTTTTCTTTCTGTTGGTTTTTTAAAAAGTTCATTATTTCATATTTTTAACTTTGAATTGGTTTTGATGGTTTTTAAAATTGAAAACTGGAATTCGACCAGGAAACTAGCGTAAAATGTTTACAGTGCACCGTAGTTCTCCTGTATATATATTTAATATTTAAAGCACTTTCTTGCCTTGAGATTTGGATTTTTAAACAGTTTATATTGAATCCTGTTTTAATGTTCACATATATATGCATGTTGACCATTTCCTCTCCCTTGGCAGCCGCCTCTCCACCAAAGTCAACATCGACACCGAAATACAACACCGCCTGAGCTCTGCGAGTGCAGCATTTTCCCGAATGAAGCAGAGAGTGTTTGAGGACCGGGACATCCGTAGGGAGACCAAGGGGCTTGTCTATAAAGCTACTGTCCTCCCAACCCTGCTCTATGCCTGCGAAACGTGGACTGCCTACAGACATCACATGCAACTCCTGGAACGATTCCATCAGCGCTGCCTCCAGAAAATCCTGCAAATCTCTTGGGAAGACAAGCGGACAAACGTCAGCGTGCTAGAAGAAGCAAAGACCACCAGCATTGAAGCGATGGTCCTCTGCCATCAACTCCGCAGGGCCGGCCAGGTTATCCGGATGCCTGACCACCGTCTCCCAAAGCAGTTGCTCTACTCCAAACTCAAGAACGGAAAACGGAATGTTGGTGGACAGGAAAAGAGATTGAAAGATGGGCTCAAAGCCAACCTTAAAAACTCTGGCATAGACACTGAGAACTGGGAAGCCCTGGCCCTTGAGCGCTCCAGCTGGAGGTCAGCTGTGACCAGCAGTGCTGCAGAATTTGAAGAGGCACAAATGGAGGGTGAAAGGTAGAAACGTGCCAGGAGGAAGGCACGTCAAGCCAACCCCAACCGGGACCGCCTTCCACCTGGAAACCAATGCCTTCACTGCGGGAGAAGATGCGGGTCAAGAATAGGGCTCCACAGCCACATACAGACCCACAAGTAAACGCATAATGGAAGACCATCTTAGTCGTCCAACGAGGGATCGCCTAAGTAAGTAAGTAATATATGCATATTTTAAAAGTGTTATGCTAATAGCTTTATGTTAAACCACTTTAAGACCCCTTCAAGGGAGATAAAGCAGGGTATACATAAATATAATAAATATAATTAATAAATAAAAAGTCCAATCTTTTAATTTGGGTCATGAAGAGTCTGTGGGCCAAGTTTGACCCAGATCCATCAAGCCACGGAGCAGCCCTTGTGGAACAAACAAACAAACAAACATTACATACATGCATAAGTACATAGTTTTGACTCCTATATGTACACAGAAAACAGCGCCCTCTGCGGACAAGAGGGGCTCTGCAGCTTGCGCATGCGCATCACTCATAAATAGTACACTTTTTTTTACCTTTATGGGCAGAAATAGCGCCCTCTGCAGCTTGCAATGCTACTGTGCGCATGCGCATCCCACACAAACAGCGCCTCCTGCGGCCGAGAGGGGCTCTGCAGCTTGCAATGCTACTGTGCGCATGCGTATCACGCACAAACAGCGCCCCCTGCGGCCAAGAGGGGCTCTGTAGCTTGCAATGCTACATGCGCATCACGCACAAACAGCGCCCCCTGCGGCCAAGAGGGGCTCTGGAGCTTGGAATGCTACCGTGCGCATGCGCATCACGCACAAACAGCGCCCCCTGCGGCCGAGAAGGGGACTCCGCCGCTTGCAGACATGCGCATCACGCACGATGGCGCTCACCTTGCTCCACGAAATCACGTCGTCGCTCCCGCGATCCTCGACGAGGGCCCACAGCTTGGCCAGGAAGCCCGGCACCAAAGAAGCCCCCGAGCCCGTGGCCACCGCCGCCGCCATGGCTGAGATTTCAGCCTGGCTCTCTACTCGAGGGCCGCCTCAGGGAAGCAGTAGGCCGCGACGCCTCCGCAGCTGAGAGACGGCCGGGCTCATTCTCTCGCGAGACTTCGCCCTAGGGGGCGGGGCCTCCCTGGCCGGCCACGCCCCCTCTGTTTGTATAGGCGCCTCTCAAGGGAGTGCCCCGTGACGTCACCGCGCAGCGGGAATTCCCTGGAGGGCAGACCTTTATTTGCATTGGTTCTCCTTTTATTATTTTATATTACTTACAGAATTATATTATTTTGTCTAACCTTCTTCCTTATTTCGCTTCTTTCCATTTCTTATTTTATATTTCACATTATTGTTTTTATATTATTATTATTATATTATTTGCAGTGCTTGCATGCTGGTCGCTTTTGCTCTGACCTACAAGGAGCACTGCCTGAACATCAAGCAAAAAGTGGGTGCCAGAAACAATATCATACGAAAGCTGACTGGCACAACCTGGGGATCACAACCAGACACAGTGAAGACATCTGCCCTTGCGCTGTGCTACTCTGCTGCTGAATCATAGAATCCTAGAGTTGTACAAGACCTCCTGGGCCACCCAGTCCAACCCCATTCTGCCAAGAAGCAGGAATATTGCATTCAAATCACCCTGAGAGATGGCTATCCAGCCTCTGTTTAAAAGCTTCCAAAGAAGGAGCCTCCACTACACTCCGGGGCAGAGAGTTCCACTGCTGAACGGCTCTCTCGGTCAGGAAGTTCTTCCTCGTGTTCAGATGGAATCTCCTCTCTGTCATGCGTTAGCAGGAGTAGCATGCAGATTGACTCTAGCCCAGTTAACTGTGTGTGTGATGAATTGGCTCATAAAAGAAAAACACACGAGACTTCGGCTTAAAGTAGAAAAGAAAAATATTGAAGTATTGGCAGCATACAAAACAAAATAGCAGGAAATGCTCTTTCCACAAAAGTAACATGAAACAATATCTTCTGAGAGATATCACTACTCAGCTGAGATAAGCAGGAATCCTTGTCCTCTTCTCATGCCTGTGTCTTCGCAGGACATCTGCAGCGTAGTCCCCGGCTTACACAAAGCAGAACGGCACAGAGGCATAGATGCACAATAGCATAGACGCACAATGGCAAAGAAGCTAAACACACAGTAGCTATCTTTATACACATGAAAATAACACTCTCAATTAACTCTTCAATTAACTGAAACAGCTGTAGCACAAACAGCCTTGAACCTTACAGCAACTTAAAGTTATAGCCCAAACAACATTGATCCTTACAACAACTTAGATAAAGTACGTTGCAACCACATAGTAGCAACGCTATGCTACTCTGCTGCTGAATCATAGAATCATAGAATCCTAGAGTTGTACGAGACCTCCTGGGCCACCCAGTCCAACCCCATTCTGCCAAGAAGCAGGAATATGGCATTCAAATCACCCCTGACAGATGACCATCCAGCCTCTGTTTAAAAGCCTTCAAAGAAGGAGCCTCCACCACACTCCGGGGCAGAGAGTTCCACTGCTGAACGGCTCTCACAGTCAGGAAGTTCTTCCTCATGTTCAGATGGAATCTCCTCTCTTGTAGTTTGAAGCCATTGTTCCGCGTCCTAGTCTCCAGGGAAGCAGAAAACAAGCTTGCTCCCTCCTCCTCCCTGTGGCTTCCTCTCACATATTTGTACATGGCTACCATATCTCCTCTCAGCCTTCTCTTCTTCAGGCTAAACATGCCCAGCTCCTTTAGCCGCTCCTCATAGGGCTTGTTCTCCAGACCTTTTATCATTTTAGTCGCTCTCCTCTGGACACATTCCAGCTTGTCAATATCTCTCTTGAATTGTGGTGCCCAGAATTGGACACAATATTCCACATGTAATCTAACCAAAACAGAATAGAGGGGTAGCATTACTTCCTTAGATCTAGACACTATGCTGAGTATGCATGCCCAGTGTGGAACACATCTCACCACACTAAAACAGTGGATGTGGCTCTTAATGAGACATGCCGCATTATCACGGGGTGTCTGCGCCCTACACCACTGGAGAAATTACACTCCTTAGCCGGTATCGCACCACCTGACATCCTCCGGGAAGTAGCAGCCAATAGTGAAAGGACCAAGGCAGAGACATCCCTAGCTCATCCCCTGTTTGGGTATCAGCCAGCATATCAACTGCTTAAATCTAGAAATAGTTTTCTAAGATGTACAGAGACACTCGCTCGAACAACTCAGCAAGCGAGAGTCCAAAAGTGGCAGGCTCAAACCCAGAACCTCAACCAGTGGCTGATACAAAATGAGAGACTCCCCCCCTGGGCACACGGAAAACTGGGCGACTTGGAAGGCGCTGAACAGACTGCGCTCTGGCACCACGAGATGCAGAGCCAACCTTCAGAAATGGGGCCACAAAGTGGAATCTTCGGCATGGGAGTGTGGAGAAGAGCCAACCACTGACCACCTGCTGCAATGCACCCTGAGCCCTGCCACATGATACACAAGGGAGGACCTCCTTGCGGCAACACCAGAGGCACTCCAAGGGGCCAGAGACTGGTCAAAGGACATTTAACCAACTACCAAACTCACAAATGTTGTATTTGTCTGTTTGCTTTGTTCTGTTAGAAATGTAATATAATGGAATAGTTGCTCTGACACGACAAATAAATAAATTTGCAGTGCTTTTTCACTTTCCATTTATGATTATTCATATTGGATATTTTCATTATTATTTATTTATTTGTGTATTTATTTCCTCACCCTGGAGGGGACTCAAGGCGGTTTTACATACAGACAACAATCTGATGCCTTAAAATACAATGTACACTTAAATAAATATTAAAATAGAATTCTATAACTTCTTCATAAGGGAGTGTGATTCACAATAAATCCCTAAATGGGTGATAACAAACAACATAATACATATGCCAAAAAGGCACCCAAAGAAAACATTCGATAATGATAAAGTAATTATATACATTCCAATAAGATAGATTACATGCATGTTATTACTTACATTATCTACAGCAGGGGTCCTCAAACTAAGGTCCAGGGGCCGGATGCGGCCCTCCAAGGTCATTTACCCGGCCCTCGCTCAGGGTCAACCTAAGTCTGAAATGACTTGAAAGCACACAACAACAATAACAACAATCCTATCTCATCAGCCAAAAGCAGGCCCACACTTCCCTTTGAAGTACTAATAAGTTTATATTTGTTTAAATTGTTCTTCATTTTAATTATTGTATTGTTTTTAAGTGGTTTTTGCACTACAAATAAGATATATGCAGTGTGCATAGGAATTCATTCATGTTTTCTTTTTCAAATTATAATCCGGCCCTCCAACAGTTTGAGGGACTGTAGAATCATAGAATCAAAGAGTTGGAAGAGACCTCATGGGCCATCCAGTCCAACCCCATTCTGCCAAGAAGCAGGAATATTGCATTCAAAGCACCCCTGACAGATGGCCATCCAGCCTCTGTTTAAAAGCTTCCAAAGAAGGAGCCTCCACCACACTCTCTCCGGGGCAGAGAGTTCCACTGCTGAACGGCTCTCACAGTCAGGAAGTTCTTCCTCATGTTCAGATGGAATCTCCTCTCTTGTAGTTTGAAGCCATTGTTCCTCGTCCTAGTCTCCAGGGAAGCAGAAAACAAGCTTGGTCCCTCCTTCCTGTGGCTTCCTCTCACATATTTATACATGGCTATTATCATATCTCCTCTCAGCCTTCTCTTCTTCAGGCTAAACATGACCTGGCCCTTGGTTTAAAAAGTGTGAGGACCCCTGATCTACAGTATGAAGCTGGCCCTACAGTTAGGTTTTCGATAGTGAGCAATGCAATTACACAGAAGCAAGGATTTAAAGGCAGGGCTAATTGCAGACAGTCAGCTGAAGTGTAAATTCCAAGCAGATAAGGTGGATAATGGCGTGTGTTACAAAAAACAGCTGAGATCCAGTCTATCGTTCAGACCAGTAGGAAACACTGTATTTAACTTAAAAATCCAGAAAACTTCCCTTTGCAAAAGATAATTCTTAGTGTCCATGTGCGGCTTTGTGTGGATTTTTTCTATAATGAAAAACTTGAAGTTGGTAAATGTATGTCCTTTTTCCAGAAAATGTGATTAAAGAGTACTATCATTGTGTTTGTTTTTTATGGGTGAGCGATGTTCTGATCTTGACAGATCTGGTGGTCATTCCAATATAGAGAAGGTCACCTGGGCATAAAATACAATATATCGCATTATCTGTTGTGCATGTGGTAAAATCATTTAAGGGTATAGTGATCTTCATGGTTGGGTGTGTGAATTGTTGAGTCTTCAAGGATTGGGAACAACATTCACAGTGTCCACAGTAAGTATGTCCTCTAAGGTTTGGTAGACTTTTTATGGTAGGCTTAGTGAAATCTGATCTAATTAACATGTCCTTTAAATTTTTGGTGCGTTTGTATGCTACCATGGGTGCATTTTGACAGCCTGGAACGTCCTTCATAATGTACCAGGATCTCTTTATTATTTTGTAGATATTAGAAGAAAGTTGTGTGAGGGGCCAGATTATTATCTTGGTGTTTTTGGCGAACCTTTTAGAACGTGAGCTCTATCTATACATCCCAGCAACTACAACTCCCAAGTGACAAAATCAATCCCTTCCACAACCCCAAGTATTCAAATGTGAGCGTATCAGGTAATTTGGTCTGGTGAATGAAAATACATCCTGCATATCAGATATTCTTTGTATTGTATTTTGCTGTAGTGTAATTTTGGGCTTGGCCTCATGTTAGCCACTCTGACTCCCATTTGGGGATATGGTGGCGGAGTACAAATAAAGATGATGATGATTATTATTATTATTATTACATTACAATTCAGAACAGTAGCAAAATTACTGTTATGAAGTAGCAACCAAAAAAATATTATGGTTGTAGTTCTCCACAACATGAGGAACTGGATTAAGGGGTCACAGCATTAGGAAGGTTGAGAAACTCTGTTCTAGAACATGGCCATATAGTCCAAACAACCTACAACAGTGTTTCTCAACCTGGGGGTCGGGACCCCTGTGGGGGTCATGAGGGGGTGTCAGAGGGGTCGCCAAAGACCATCAGAAAACATAGTATTTTCTGTTGGTCATGGGGTTCTGTGTGGGAAGTTTGGTCCAATTCTATCATTGGTGGGATTCAGAATGTTATTTCATTGTAGGTGAACTATAAATCTCAGCAACTATAACTCTCAAATGTTAAGGTCTATTTTCCTCAAACTCCTCCAGTATTCACATTTCGGCATATTGAGTATTCGTGCCAAGTCTGGTCCAGATCCATCATTGTTTGAGTCCACAGTGCTCTCAGGATGTAGGTGAACTACAACTCCAAAAATTCAAAATCAATGTCCACCAGATCCTCACAGTATTTTCTCTTGGTCATGGGAGTTTTGTGTGCCAAGTTTGGTTCAATTTCATCATTGGTGGTGTTCAGAATGCTCTTTGATTGTAGGTGAACTATAAATCCCAGCAACTAAAGCTCCCAAATGACAAAATCAATCCCCCCCCCCCACCCCACCATTCAGATTTGGGCATATTGGGTATTTGGGATTTGAAAATACATCCTGTATATCAGATATTGACATGATGATTCATAACAGTAGCAAAATTACAGTTATGAAGTAGCAATCAAAATAATGTTATGGTTGGGGGTCTCCACAACATGAGGAACTGTACTAAGGGGTCGCGGCATTAGGAAGGTTGAGAAACACTGACCTACAACAAACCAGTTCTCTAAAGGCTTGGTCTCAAAGCCACATTTTCACTCTCTTTCAGAAGATCAGGAAGGAGGGGGCTGATCTAATATCCCTGGGGTGGGAGTTTCACAACCAAGGAGCCACCACTGAGAATACCCTATCTCTTGGCCCAACCAATCCTGCATGGCGGTGGTTGGACTAGATGGCCCATGTGGTCTTTTCCAACTCTATGATTCTATGAAACGCTGTGTGCAGCCTCGCCTTGGTATTTATGGCCCTAAAGCGAAACCAAAGCAATAAAGAGGGACGAGTCCCATCGATCCAAGTGACGTCCTCCCTGCAGAAATATGTATCTTATCTCCCACTTGGCTGCCGTTTTGCAACTCGGGCATCCAGTCACCAGCTGGTTTTATGGCCTAGACTTTGCCCTTTTGCTTTGGCTCCATTGCATTCCTTTGGCGCTTTAAAGGCTGGAAGGACAGGCTTTCAATCAGGTGCTCTTCCGGTGCTTCTCTCTTTTCATCTTCACCAAAGTAAGGAATCTCTTCAATGCGTTTAGTATTTTTTCCAGCACTGCTGTCTAAAGCAGTGTAGACACATATAATGCAGCTTGGTGTGGCTCAAGCTACATTCTATGACAGCAATATAAAACCCAAATTGCTTTGAACTGGATCGTACGGCAGTGTAGACTCATATAATCCAGTCCAAAGCATATAATATGGATTATATGGCAGTGTAGATGGGTCACAGACTGTATAATGCAGTTCCAACTGCACTATATGGCAGACTAGGGCTATATAAAATTCAGATTATTGTATTAATAATCTGAATTTATATGAGTCTAAACTGGATTATATTAGTCTACACTGCCATATAATCCATTCAAAGTGGGTAATCTGGATTTGGTGTAGATTCAACCTTTGCTTAGTTGTAGTCAAAACCGGTCAAATTAATGTAGCTTGACAGTGCTTTCTATGGAGTCCTAGGAGTTGTAGTTTCCTAAGGTCTTCGCTGCTAAACTACAGCTCCCAGGATTGCATTTACTGGGTCGTAATCAGTCATTCTTAGCAAGGATACCTTCCAAAAAAACTTGCAACAAGTGGATAAAGAATTGCTTTCTTGGCGTAACAAATAGTTTTTGGTTACTATAAACAAGGAAACTGTATACACACACACACACATACACACACACACACACACTAACAAGAATGTGTCTTATTATTATGTCAAGTTACAATTACACTTAACTTTAAGCAAGTGCTACTTGTTAACCAAGAAAGTAACTCTTGGCTTAATGTCAAAATGTAACTTTGGTCCAGTTAAAGTAAACAATGAATTGAATTGTACATTTTGTTGGTGTGAATGGTTTCGTGTGTTTGAATCAGGTTTCTATCTCTTAACATGTCTGTTTCAATGGCCTTTCTATGCATTTTAAATGTATTGTAACTCATTTCAAGCCTTGAGTTGGGAAACAAATCTGTTGTTGTTGCTGTTGTTGTTTTAAGAACCCTATTTTAAGACATAAACTGCCATATAGCCACCAGTCAAAGAGTCCATCCGCACTGCACTGTAGGTTTAAAGCAGTTTGACACCACTTGAATTTCAATATCTCAGTGGGAAAGTTGGATTGGGAAAAGGTACATCCGCACTGTTTAATCCAGTTTGGCACCACTTCAACATCAATGACTCAATGGGAATATTGGATTGGATGGATTGGATTGGATCTGCACTGTAGATTTAATGCAGTTTGGCACCTCTTGAACATCTATTGCTCAATGAGAACATTGGATTGGATTGGGAAGGGTGCATCCGCACTGTAGATTTAAACCAGTTTGGCACCATTTGAACTTCAATTGCTCAGTGGGAACGTTGGATTGGGAAAAGGTGCATCCGCACTGTTTAATCCAGTTTGGCACCACTTCAACATCAATGGCTCAATGGGAAAATTGGATTGGATGTATTGAATTGGATCTGCACTGTAGATTTAATGCAGTTTGGCACCTCTTGAACATCTATTGCTCAATGGAAACATTGGATTGGATTGGGAAGGGTGCACCCACACTGTAGATTTAATCCAGTTTGGGCACCACTTCAACTTCAGTGACTCAATGGGAACATTGGATTGGATGGACTGGATTGGATCTGCACTGGAGATTTAATGCAATTTGGCACCTCTTGAACATCCATTGCTCAATGAAAACATTGGATTGGATTGGGAAGGTGCATCCACACTGTAGATTTAAACCAGTTTGGCACCACTTAAACTTCCATTGCTCAATGGAAATGTTGGATTGGGAAAAGTTGCATCCACATTGTAGATATAAAGCAGTTCGGCACCATTTGAACTTCCATTGCTCAATGGGAACATTGGATTGGGAAAGGGTGCATCTGCACTGTAGCTTTAATGCAGTTTGGCACTACTTGAACTTCCATTGCTCAATGGGAATGTTGGATTGTTTTGGATTAGGAAAGGGTGCATCCACGCTGTAGATTTGATCCAGTTTGACACCACTTTGAGCTGTCACAGCTCAATGCTATGGGATCCTGGGAAGTTGTCATTTGGCAGAGACTTGCAAAACTACAACTCTTATGATTCCATCGCATTGTGGGGTGCCAAATCTGCATTAACTCTGCAATGTAGATGCACCCAAAAACTGACCGTATTGGCCAAATGGAGCCAAGATCTAGCTTGAGATAAGACAATTGCACATTTTCCATATTGTCATTTCTTTTGTTTCCAAACATGGCGAACAGACTTTCCAAAAGTCTGGAATGCGGTCCTGCGGCTGGACCTTGCCGGCCATGACCTTGGTCCATTTTGCTGGCTTTGTCTTTGGCGAGGGGTCCAGCAGAGCCTACTATTTGGGGATCCATGAAGTGGAGTGGAACTACGCGCCGCTCGGGAAGAATGGCGTCACCGGGCAAAGCATTGCAGACGACGAGTAAGTCTAATTCCTTGCTTTCCAAACAGAGAAGAGTGAATTGGAATAGTTGACACGCTGCAATGTACCCAGTAGTCCACTGACATGGCAATATAAGGCATTGTAGACTCATTCTCTGGGTCTAGATGGGATTATAATGGATTCACCTCTTCCCTGCAACCGTTCCCTTGGACTTAGGACTCTCTTCCTTTGATAAAAAGAAACTAAGACGAAGCTGTTTGTCAAGAAGAGCGTCTATAGGATTAAAATGCCTTGAAGGCACCAGATCTTTGCAAGCTAAGCAGGGTCAGTCCTGGATAATGCTTGGATGGGAGGCCACCGCCACATGATGAGCACCGCAATCTAGTATTAGCGATGTATTAATGCTTAGACCATGGGACATTTGCATGCAGAGACATCAATGCAGTATAAAAGAGTCTTATAGATCTTGCCTGTTAATATTCAATACCAGAAAAACACAATGTATATCATATGGAGATAGTGAAATTGGGATTAGACAGGTGCATTTTTGGAGTATGCGTTAGGCTGAATAGTTCCCAAGAATTTGGATCTATAGGTTGCATTTTAAAGTGAACACCTTCTTATTTGAGAAATTCCTAATAAATCCATGAGGTCACCATAAGGTCTTAAATTGTATTTTGATGGTGTGTGTGTGTGTGTCCAAATCCCACATTCCATAACTATGTGCTTTTAACAATTGTCGCTCTAATTCTATTTTAGTATTTATAGGTTTTTAGTTGCAATTTGTACTGTGTTGTGAACTGTTTTAAGAGACAAGAGCAGGATTTAAAGATGATGATGATGATGATGATGATGATGATGATGATAGCAGGCACTTTGAGTCTCTGTTGGGAGATAATGATAACAATAACAACAACAGCTACTTTGTGTCTCTTTTGGGAGATGATGATGAAGATGATTATTATGATAATAAATATCGCAGCAGCCACATTGAGTTTCCTTTGGGAGAATATGATGGTGATGGTGATGGTGATGGTGATGGTGATGGTGATGGTGGTGGTGGTGATGATGATGATGGCAGCCACTTTGAGTCTCTGTTGGGAGATTATGGTGAAGGTGTTGATGACGATGATGATGATGACAGCAGCCAATTTGAGTCTCCTTTTGGGAGATGATGATGATGATGATAGCAGGCACTTTGAGTCTCTGTTGAGAGATAATAATAACAACAACAACAGCCACTTTGAGTCTCCTTTTGGGAGATGATGATGTTGGTGATAATGATACTGACAGCTACTTTGTGTCTCTTTTGGGAGACGATGATGATGATGGTGGTGGTGGTGATAATAATAATTGCAGCAGCCACTTTGAGTTTACTTTGGAAGATTATGATGGTGATAACAACAACAGTAATGGCAGCCACTTTGGGAGATTATGGTGAAGGTGATGATGATGACGATGACAACAGCCACTTTGAGTCTCCTTTTGGGAGATGGTGGTGATGATGATGATGATGATGATGATGATGACAGTAGCCACTTTGAGTCTCCTTTTGGAGATGATGATGATGACAGCAGCCAGTTTGAGTCTCCTTTTGGAGATGATGATGATGATAGCAGCCAGTTTGAGTCTCCTTTTGGAGATGATGATGATGATAGCAGCCACTTTGAGATGATGGTGATGATGATGATGATAGCAACCACTTTGAGTCTCCATTGGGAAATGATGATTATGACGACAACAACAACAACAACGATAATAGCAGCCACTTTGAGTCTCCATTGGAAGATGGTGATAGTAGTAGTAATAATAATAATAATAATAATAATAATAATAATAATAATATAGCCAGTTTTAATCTCTTTTGGGAGGTGATGATATGATGATAATAATAGTAATAGAAATGACGACGACAACGATGATGATGTTGATGATGATAACAACCACCTTGAGTCTCCATTGGGAGATGGTGATTATAATAATAATATAATAGTAGTAGTAGTAATAATAATAATAATAATAATAATGCAATAGCCAGTTTGAATCTTTTTTGGGAGGTGATGATATGATGATAATAATAGTAATAGAAATGATGATGATGATGATAACAGCAGCCATTTTGAGTCTCCTTTTGGGAGATGATGATGATAACAACCACCTTGAGTCTTCATTGGGAGATGGTGATTATAATAATAATATAATAGTAATAGTAATAATAATAATAATAATAATAATACAATAGCCACTTTGAATCTCTTTTGGGAGGTGATGATATGATGATAGTAATAGTAATAGAAATGATGATGATGATGATGATGATGATGATGATGATGATAGCAGCAGCCATTTTGAGTCTCCTGTGGGAGGTGATGATGTTGATAACTAGCCCTGTTGCCCCATTGTGTTTCCGAATCACCCTTCTCCTTGTTTCTCAGCGCAGCCTCCCTGTTCCTTCAGCCCTCAAGGGACAGAATCGGCAGCGTCTACAGGAAATCCATCTATCGGCAGTATTCAGACGCCACTTACACATCCGAGGTGCCCAAGCCACCCTGGCTGGGCTTCCTTGGCCCCATCATCCGGGCCGAAGTCGGGGACACCATCTCCGTCCATCTGAAAAACTTTGCCAAACGACCGTTCTCCATCCACCCGCACGGTGTCTTCTACAAGAAGGACTCGGAAGGTAGCTGCACTATTATTATTATTATTATTATTATTATTATTATTATTATATTCTTCACTTCAAACGAGGCATATTGGGAACTATCCACATTGCCTAAGCTAATGATTTGCACACCCCTAGTTTTTACCTAAGCTCACCAGCAACATCTGCATTCCCAGGGTCCCTGTACCCAGATGTGTCTTCATGGGACCTCAAGGCAGACGATGCCGTGCCACCGGGAGGGAGCTACACCTACATCTGGACCGTCCCCGAGGACCACGGGCCCACCGCCCACGACCCCTCCTGCCTGACCTGGATCTATCACTCCCATGTCAATGCTCCCCGAGACATTGCCTCCGGGCTAATCGGGCCGCTTCTTATCTGCAGGGAAGGTAAGCCCCTTTGGGATGCAGGTGGGATAGAAATAAAATCTAATACTGTGATGTGTGTGTGTGTGTGTGTATAGTCAGAGAGTTTGTATGAGGGTTGAATGAAAAGTAATGCCTCCACCTTTGTAACTCCTCAACAGATGGCAGTACTGGTATGTGGCAGGTACTTGCTTGTTCAGTAGACTCTCCTCTACAGTTCCATATTGGCAGGAAGCCTCACTATTGACAGACCTCACTACCTCTGAGGATGCTTGCCATAGATACAGGCGAAACGTCAGGAGAAATGCCTCTAGAACATGGCTCTATAGCCCGAAAACCCCCACAAGAACCTAGCACCAAATTATTAAATATATTATTTATAACACAGCCGGATATGTGTATACGCTGCCTATGGATTTCCTATTCAGATGTCCCATTTCCTTGGTGTTTCATGCAAATATTCCAAAATCTGGGAGTGGAAAATCCCAAACACTTCTGGTCCCAAGCATTTTTGGAGAAGGGATACTCAGCCTGTACAATATGTTATGGCTACATCTTAGAAATCCCAGGATTTGTAGTTTGTTGAGTTGCTAGAAGTGCCTAAAGGCCTCTCTCTAAACTGCAAATCCCAAGATTTCAATGCTTGTTAAAGTGGGAGTTTAGTCCTGTAACTATGTCATGTGGAAGGCCCTTAGATGAAGGTTGGGTCTTCCAAAAGACTACATTGGAGGAGAGAAGAGGCCTTCATGTGATTGGGAATCCAGTATAACCCCATTGATGATGGGGCCTTTCCATGTGCTCCCCTCTTCTCCTTTTGCCCAGGGACCCTGAAGAGCCGCTCCCAAAGGCGCCACGATGCCGACCTCGACTTCTTCCTGATGTTCAGTGTGGTCGACGAGAACGAAAGCTGGCATTTGCATGAGAACATTGCCTCCTTCTGTGGAGAACCAGACTCAGTGGATGAGGAGGACGAGGCCTTCAAAGAGAGCAACAGGATGCATGGTGAGTGTCCACAGCCCTTCCTTTGAGGATTGGGCCAAGATCTAACAACAACAACAACAACAGGTTAAACTGTTTGGTATATTGGATGGAGAATGACAATGTCATCTGTGCACACTAGTGAAATAGTGAAAGGATCAAGGCAGAGACATCTCCAGCTCATCCCCTGTTTGGGTATCAGCCAGCACGTCAACGACTTAAAACTAGAAATAGTTTTCTAAGATCTACAGAGACACTCGCTGGAACACCTCAGCAAGCGAGAGTCCAAAAGTGGCAGGCTCAAACCCAGCACCTCAACCAATGGCTGATACCAAATGAGAGACTCCCCCCTGGGCACACAAAAGACAGGGCGACTTGGAAGGCGCTGAACAGACTGCGCTCTGGCACCACGAGATGCAGAGCCAACCTTCAGAAATGGGGCCACAAAGTGGAATCCTCGACATGCGAGTGTGGAGCAAACCACTGACCACCTGCTGCAATGCAACCTGAGCCTTGCCACATGATGCACCAGGGAGGACCTTCTTGCGGCAACACCAGAAGCACTCCAAGTAGACAGATACTGATCAAAGGACATTTAATCAACTACCAAACTCACAAATTTTGTATTCTGTATTTTGTATTTTTGTATTTTGTCTGTTTGTTTGCTTTGTTCTGTTAGAAATGTAATATAATTGACTGGTTGCTGGTGACTCGATAAATAAAATAAATCTGTGCGTACTCAGAAGAAGATCTCCAAGCCACTCTCAACACCTTCGCAGAAGCATACGAGAAGCTCAGCCTATCATTGAACACTGAGAAAACCAAAGTGCTCTTCCAGCAGTCACCAGCCAACCCCTCTCCAACGCCAGAGATACAGCTTCATGGTGTAATATTAGAAAATGTTGACCGTTTCCGCTACCTTGGCATCCACCTCTCCACCAAAGTCAACATTGACACTGAAATACAACACTGCCTGAGCTCTGCGAGTGCAGCATTTTTCTGAACAAAGCAGAGAGTGTTTGAGGACCGGGGCATGCATAGGGATACCAAGGTGCTTGTTTATAAAGGTATCGCCCTCCAAACCCTGCTATACGCCTGTGAGACGTGGACTGTCTACAGACGTCACATGCAACTCCTGGAAGGATTCCATCAGCGCCGCCTTCAAAAATCCTGCAAATCTCTTGGGAAGACAGGCGGGGAAATGTCAGCATGCTGGAAGAAGAAGTAAAGACCACCAGCATTGAAGCAATGCTCCTCCGCCATAGAATCATAGAATCATCGAATCGCAGAGTTGGAAGAGACCTCCTGGGCTGTCATCCAGTCCAACCCCTTTCTGCCAAGAAGCAGGAATGTTGCATTCAAATCACCCCTGACAGATGGCCATCCAGCCTCTGTTTAAAAGCTTCCAAAGAAGGAGCCTCCACCACACTCCGGGGCTGAGAGTTCCACTGCTGAACAGCTCTCACAGTCAGGAAGTTCTTCCTCGTGTTCAGGTGGAATCTCCTCTCCTGTAGTTTGAAGCCATTGTTCCACGTTCTAGTCTCCAGGGAAGCAGAAAACAAGCTTGCTCCCTCCTCCTCCCTGTGGCTTCCTCTTACGGATTTATACATGGCTATCATATCTCCTCTCAGCCTTCTCTTCTTCAGGCTAAACATGCCCAGCTCCTTAAGCCACTCCTCATAGGGCTTGTTCTCCAGACCTTTTATCATTTCAGTCGCCCTCCTCTGGACACATTCCAGCTTGTCAATATCTCTCTTGAATTGTGGTGCCCAGAATTGGACACAATATTCCAGGTGTGGTCTAACCAAAGTGGAATAGAGTGGTAGCATTACTTCCCTAGATCTAGACACTAGGCTCCTATTGATGCCAGCCAAAATCCCATTGGCTTTTTTTGCCGCCACATCACATTGTTGGCTCATGTTTAACTTGTTGTCCACAAGGACTCCAAGATCTTTTTCACACGTACTGCTCTCGAGCCAGGCGTCCCCCATTTTGTATCTTTGCATTTCGTTTTTCCGCTGGACCGGCTACGTTGTCTAGATGCTTGATCACCGTCTCCCAAAGCAGTTGCTCTACTCCGAACTCAATAACGGAAACTGGAATGTTGGAGGACAGGAAAAGAGATTGAAAGATGGGCTCAAAGCCAACCTTAAAAACTCTGGCATAGACACTGAGAACTGGGAAGCCCTGGCCCTTGAGCGCTCCAGCTGGAGGTCAGCTGTGACCAGCAGCGCTGCAGAATTTGAAGAGGCACGAATGGAGGGCAGAAGAGAGAAACATGCCAAGAGGAAGACACATCAAGCCAACCCTGACTGGGACCGCTTTCCACCTGACTGGGACCGCTTTCCACCTGGAAACTGATGTCCTCAGTGCGGGAGAAGATGTGGATCAAGAATAGGGCTCCACAGCCACCTACGGACCCACTGCCAAGACACCACACCTGGAAGACAATCATCATTGAGCTACAAGGGATCGCCTAAGTATGTAAGTAAGTAAGGGGAAGGGGAAGCCCGAGCTGGAGATAGTCTAAAAAACAAAGAGAGAGTTCAAAAGATGGGACTTGATGACCTGCAGGCAGGAAAGATAAGCCAGCCGTGAGTCCTTGAGAGATGAACAAAGGCTTACTGAACTGAAATGTTTTGAAGCGCATGCTCAGATTGCTTGAAGGAAGGAGGGGGTAAAAGAAGGAGGAGGGGGAGTTGAGTATGTGAGTGTGGTGTTGTTTTGGCCTACAACTCCCAGAAATCCCAGTCAGTTTCCCAGCTGCGCAGAGAAGCCATTGGGGTCCACAAGCGTGTGGACAGTTTCAGCAGAGGGAAGGAGACCATGAAAATGAACAAAATCTGGCTGCCAGTATTAAAAAACTCTAAAATTACAACAGCAAAACAGCAGAGGGGAAACAATCAGGCACATCTAACCACCTCTCAACAAAAGATTGCCCCAGGCACCGCCAGGCCATCAAATGCTAATCAAGGTGGTCAGTTGAAACATTCACACCTAGCTCCAGCAGACAAGAGTTCTTTGCCCCACCCTGGACAGATATATAAACCCATTTTCCTAGTTCTAATAGACCTCACTACCTCTGAGGATGCTTGCTATAGATGCAGGCGAAACGTCAGGAGAGAATGCCTCTAGAGCATGGCCAAATAGCCCGAAAAAACCTACAACAACCCAGTGATTCTGGCCATGAAAGCCTTCGACAATACAGTTTCCCAGCTGTTGGGATTTCTGGGAGTTGAAGGCAAAAACATCTGGGGAGAGACCCACTGCTTGAGAACCACTGCATTAATGGTTTGATCCTTGTTTCTGCATCTCTTAAGGGTTTGCTCCTTGTCTCCACAGCTATCAACGGTTTTGTCTTTGGGAGCCTCCCGGAGCTGTCCATGTGTGCCGGAGACCACGTCTCGTGGCACCTCTTTGGGATGGGCAGCGAGAGGGACGTCCACACCGCCTTCTTCCATGGACAGACCCTGCTGCTTCGAGGCCACAGGACCGACGTGGTCAGCCTCTTCCCGGCCACCTTTGTAGCGGCAGAAATGACCCCCCGCAACACAGGGAAGTGGCTGCTGAGCTGCGAGGTCCAAGACCACTTGCAAGGTGAGGCCCATCGCTTGCTTTGATTGTGTTGGAGATGCAAACAATAAAAATACAATGCTATTTACAAACTGCAACAGATAAATATTATTATTTATTATTTATTTATTTACTTTGCTTATATACCGCAGTTCTCAGCCCAGGGGCGACTCACTGCGGTGTGCAACATAGAAAAACAAGGTGCAAAATACAAGACTCAGTATAAAATAATCCACAATTCATCATTATCAAAAAACATCCTCATCAAAAACGTCATCATTACTACAAAGCCATTCCGTGTCGTCTCATCGTCCAAAGCCACAATCCAGTGTCATTTTCCGTTGTTCCATTCCTATGGTCAGTTACCAATCATTGCACTTCTTGTTCAAACGCCTTCTTAAACATCAAACGCCTTCTTAAAATATTAGAAGGGAATGAAACGTATCTGGGCAAAAGAAGAAGCAGAAGAGGAAGGAGGAAAAGATACAGAATGGGGGACGCATGGCTCGAGAGCAGTACATATGAAAAAGATCTTGGAGTCCTCGTGGACAACAAGTTAAACATGAGCCAGGAATGTGATGCGGCAGCTAAAAAAGCCAATGGGATTTTGGCCTGCATCAATAGGAGCCTAGTGCCTAGATCCAGGGAAGTCATGTTCCCCATTCTCTATTCTGACTTGGTCAGACCACACCTGGAATCACACTGTGTCCAAATCTGGGCACCACAATTGAAGGGAGATGTTGACAAGCTGGAATGTGTCCAGAGGAAGGTGACCAAAATTATCAAGGGTCTGGAAAACAAGGCCCATGAGGAGTGGCTTAAGGAGCTGGGCAAGTTTAGCCTGAAGAAGAGAAGGATGAGGAGAGACATGATGTATAAATATGTGAGAGGAAGTCCTAGGGAGGAGGGAGCAAGCTTCCTTTCTGCTTCCCTGGAGACTAGGACGCAATGGAACAATGGCTTCAAACGACAAGAGAGGAGATTCCATCTGAACATGAGGAAGAACTTCCTGACTGTGAGAGCTGTTCAGCAGTGGAACTCTCTGCCCCAGAGTGTGGAGGAGTCTCCTTCTTTGGAGGCTTCTAAACAGAGGCTGGATGGCCATCTGTCAGGGGTGCTTTGAATGTGATTGTCCTGCTTCTTGGCAGAATGGGGTTGGACTGGATGGCCCATGAGGTCTCTTCCAACTCTAGGATTCCATGATTCTATGAAAAAGGGGAGCAAAACTGGGACTGAAGATTCATTGCAAACTTCATTTATGAATCAGGATTCTCTGATGTTTGGAAAGTATGTTGCTCTTTGTAGGATTCCTTACAGGAGAGATGAATGAAGGAGAGAAAGTCAGTATTTAAGAGGCGAATGTGGGCAGAATAGTAGTTGCATATGATGATGATGATAATGATGATGATGATGATGATGATGATGATGATGCATTCATTCCAAAGTGCAAATGCACCCCAGGCTTCCTCTTCTCTCTTTGGTTTTGCTGCCAAACTAACAGTCTCTGGTTGTCTTGGGCCCAAGGAGTTTTGCAGCTGAGAAGCTTTTCCAGGTCCCTTTCTCAATGGCTGTGAATATTGGAATAATCACAACCCTTATTCCAATGGCCTATATTTTGAAGGCACAAAGCCTTCCTCTGGTGCCAAAGAACTGGTTTGAAGGCGCTTGAGACTTCCCAACATCGTTCAGGTTGGTCTGAACATGAAGCATAAGTCTCAAGGGTAAGAACCTCAGAATTGGTGCTGAGAGGTAACTTAATCAGTGGCTTTTAGAGCCAAGTCTCTTACTCACGTCCATCTGGTAGAAAATCTGATGGAAAATCTCACAAGCCAAACTTTTATTTTGATCGCAGTCTCTTGTGTTGTCTTTTGCAGCCGGGATGGAAGCCCTCTACGAAGTCAAGAACTGCTCCTATCAAAAGGCAGAGCCGCCATTGGAAGGAAAGCTTCGGAAATATTACATTGCGGCCAAGGAGGTGCAGTGGAACTACGCACCTTCGGGATTAGACCAAAGCACCGGGAAAAGCCTCCAGGAGCCAAACAGGTAAAAGGACTCCGAATCTCGCAAATTGTTTCCAAAGTAATTATTTTCTGGAGGGAAAGGGCAAAGAATATGAGCAAGTTTCCTCTTGCTATGAGAAGCTGTTTTTGAAGAACCTGGGCTCAGCGCATTACAGAACCTAGTTCTGAACTCCTATGTTGTTTTTGTTCTATGCAAAACCTACACAGGGTTGGGTTGTTGTAGGTTTTTCCGGGCTACATGGCCATGTTCTGGAGGCAATTTTTCTCCTGACGTTTTGCCTGCATCTATGGCAAGCATCCCCAGAGGTAATGAGGTCTGTTGGAACTGGGGAAAATGGGTTTATATATCTGTGGAATGACCAGGGTGAGATAAAGGACTTTTGTTTGCTGGGGCTAGCTGTGAATGTTTCAGCTGATCACCTTGATTAGCATTCAATGGCTTGGAAGTGCCTGGGGGGAATATTTTGTTGAGAGTGATTTCATGTGTCTGTTTGTTTCCCCTCTGTTGTTTTGCTGTTGTAATTTTTGAGTTTTTTAATACTGGTAGCCAGATTTTGTTCATTTCATGGTTTCTTCCTTTCTGTTGAAATTGTCCACATGCTTGTGGATTTCAATGGCTTCTCTGTGTAGTCTGACATGGTGGTTGTGAGAATGGTCCAGCACTTCTGTGTTCTCAAATAATATGCTGTGTCCAGGTCCCAAAAGTCCTTTCTCTCACCCTGGTCATTCCACAGATATATAAACCCATTTTCCCTACTTCCAACAGACCTCTCTACCTCTGAGGATGCTTGCCATAGATGCAGGCGAAACGTCAGGAGAAAAATTGCCTCCAGAACATGGCCATATAGCCCGGAAAAACCTACAACAACCGATGGATTCCGGCCATGAAAGCCTTCGACAATACATTCTACACAGGGTTGTGTTGCATTGGGAACAAACATTTCCTTTGCAGGAAGCAGCAGGTTTGCATCTTGCAAAACAACTGGTTGAATTTTTCATAGAATTGTTCCTGAACGTATTGTTCTCGTCATCTCAGGATTCTTGGTTCGCACTTGAGAGAGAGAAGGATAAAGGTCTTGCGAAAGTACAACTCCCGTAATCCCATAGCATTGAGCTACAAGGTGGCATCAAACAGCATACTTGAGATACTTGAATCCGAGGCTTGAGCGATGCTCATGCATTGTTGAAGGCTTTCATGGCCGGGATCACTGGGTTGTTGTAGGTTTTTCCGGGCTATATGGCCATGTTCTGGAGGCAATTTTTCTCCTGACGTTTCGCCTGCATCTATTGCAAGCATCCTCAGAGGTAGTGAGGTCTGTTGACCTCACTCCCTCTGAGGATGCTTGCCATAGATGCAGGCGAAACGTCAGGAGAAAAATTGCCTCCAGAACATGGCCATATAGCCCGGAAAAACCTACAACAACCCGATACTCATGTGTTGCACATTTCTCATCGGCCACAAGGTGGTGGAAATGCTGCAGAAACACCCAGATTTCTCAACTCCCAACAACTCTTTTTGCTGAGCGCACAATGCTTTGCTCTGCAATAATGCATCTAGTCAAGGACACCCAATGAAAGCCATGGAGTCAGGAGTGGCAGCAAGGCAAAGCAAGCCTTACAAAGGAGGCTTGGTGGGAGTGTTTGCCTTGGAGACGAGGAGGAGAAGTGATAAGAGAGAGATTCATCCAAAGGGATGTCATTAGCAAGAGAGTAGTACACAAAGCAGTGGATTCAGGTGGCAAGGAAAGAGCGTCCGCTTAAATACGAGGAAGAACGTCTTGAGGGTAAAAGATGTTCAGCAGTGGAATGGAGGATGATAGGCTCTCCTCCTATGGAGGTCTTGGAACAAAGGTTGGATGGGCATCTTTTGGGGGTACTTTAGTTGTGGAGCCCCCGTGATGCAGCAGGTTAAACTGCTGAGCTGCTGAACTTGCTTGCCAAAAGGTTGCAGGTTTGAATCTGGGGAGCAGGGTGAGCTCCCACCTTAAGCCCCAGCTTCTGCCAACCTAGCAGTTTGAAAACATGCAAATGTGAATAATAGTTATTATTATTATTATTATTATTATTATTTATTATTGTCATGTCAGGAGCGACTTGAGAAACTGCAAGTCGCTTCTGGTGTGAGAGAATTGGCCATCTGCAAGGACGTTGCCCAGGGGACCCGGATGTTTTGATGTTTTATCATCCTTGTGGGAGGCTTCTCTCATGTCCCCGCATGAGGAGCTGGAGCTGATAGAGGGAGCTCATCCCGCTCTCCCGGATTCGAACCTGTGACCTGTCAGTCTTCAGTCCTGCCGGCACAGGGGTTTAACCCACTGCACCACCGGGGGCTCCGTAATAACAATAACAATAACAACAACAACAACAACAACAACAACAACAACAATAATAATAATAATAATAAATCACACAGTCCTAGACACTTGGGAAGTGTCCGACGTGTGATCCAATACAACAGCCAGCAGAGTGTCTGCTGTGGACTCATCTTGTTGTGTTTCAAATAATAATAATAATAATAATAATAATAATAATAATAATCAGCAAAGAATACATTCAAAGGGTCAGAAAAATTCTCAAAAGCAAGCCAGCATAGTGCTGCTGTGGACTCATCTTGTTGTGTATCAAATAAATAAATAAATAATAATAATAATAATAATACATCACACAGTCCTAGACACTTGGGAAGTGTCCGACGTGTGATCCAATACAACAGCCTGTAGAGTGTCTGCTGTGGACTCATTTTGTGTTTATAATAATAATAATAATCATCGTCATCATCATCTTTATTTATACCCCATCACCATATCCCCAAAGGGACTCAGGATGGTTAACATGAGGCCAAGCCCAAGGATTACCATGCAGCAAAGTAAAATACAACAGCAAATAATAGCAACAAAGTAAAATGCAAACAATAACAAATACATAATAAACAAATGCAAAATAAAATAGTGGAAGAATAAAAAAAAAACACAGTGGGAGGGCCAAATGCACAGGATAAAATCAGTAAAACCCTGGATGAGATAGGTAAATGGAGTAATGTTTCTGAGGGGAGAACAATGTGGTTGACTGGGTTGTTGTAGGTTTTTCGAAAAAACCTACAACAACCCAGTGATTCCAGCCATGAAAGCCTTCAACAATGTGGTTGACTTTCACTGAGGGACGAGGGAAAGTGCATCAAGAGGAGAGATCTGTATTGGAACGGACATGGTTTGGGGATATGTGTTCATTCATGTGTTCATAGATCAATAGGTACCACTCTGGCAGGAAGGTAATGGTGCTCCATGCAGTCATGCCAGTAGCCACATGACCTTGGAGGTGTCTGCGGACAATGCCAGCTCTTCAGTGTAGAAATGGAGATTAGCACCAGAGTTGGACATGACTGAACTTCATGTCAGGGGAAAACCTTTACCATAGTTGTGGATCCCTTTATGATAAAGACTGGACTAGATGACCTTTAAGGTGCCACATCCAGGTCTACGAATCTTCTGAAATTGAAATAGGCAGAAATAGACTATGACTCTTCATATGGAGACCTTGAAACAGAAAGTGGATGGGTGTCTTTTGGTAATGTTTTAGTTGTGGATTCCTACAAGGCAGAATACGGTTAGATGAGAGAGCCATTGCAGTATTTTCCAGATCTATGATTTGCCTGAAACAGAAAGAGGCAGAAATCAACCACTTTGGAAAGTGGAACCCTCTCCTCGTTTGGAGGCCTCGAAATAGAGGTCGGGTGGACATCCGGATGGATAAGAGATGCGTCTACACTGGAGAATGAATGCAGTTTGGCCCCACTTATTGCTATGGAATCTCCTGAGCTGTCATTTTGCAAGGCCTTGAGCTTTCTCTGCCAAAGAAATTACACTCATTACAACTCCCATAGCTTTGAGTTCGCGGCGCTTAAAGCAATACCAAACTGCGTTCATTCTTCAGTGTAGACATACCCAGAGGAATAGCATCCTCTTGAAAATGACTTCATTCAGAGCAGTGCTTGTTGTCTTGGCGAGTTGTCTGTTGTGAAAACAGCGAAGGGAGAAACGAAGGTTGATTTGTTGTAATAAGTCACTGTGGGCGAGCTGGAAGGAGGCCGAGGGGGGAAATCAACACTGCGCTGAAATTCCTTCCCTTAATCTGGAGGAGAGCGAGTCCCTCGGGGCAGAACGCTCTCCCTCAACACCGAGAAGAGCAAACATCCTATGAATCTTTTATGATCTCCTGGAAGATGGAGTGAGAAAGGACTGTAAATAGATGCTGGCCAACCAAGCACCGTTCTTTTGCAACTGGAGGACGCTGAGCAAAGGAATCGGCGTTGCGGTTCCTCCTCTGTCTGGCGTCTTTTCCTCCTGCTGTTACCAAAATGTTTGGCAGCATTTCTCCGCAATTATTAACCAGCTGTGCTTTGTGCATCCTTATGTTGGCTCATCTGGCATTATGAAGGCATTGTCATTCCAGGTTGGCATTCCAACTTCAGCAGCGTCACCTTGGGGTGCATCTGCACTGTCGAACAAATGCAGTTTGACTCCACTTTATAGGGGCCACGGTAGCACAGCGGTTAAAGCCGCTAGCTGCAAGAAAAGCTGCTGACTGGAGGGTAAACAATTCAAAGCCAGAAGTCAGGGTGAGCTCCTGACTGTCAGTCCTAGCTTCTGCCTACCTATGTCACAATGCCAGGGCTCTGCCAGCACAGGTGAATCAAACAAACACCCAGTTTGTATCAAACAGTTTAATTAAAGCAGCACTTACTTTCTGGATGTTTTAATAGTCCAAAATATAAAACATAAAGATAGCATTCAGTCACAGAATATATGAGGGTTGAATGAAAAGTAATGCCTCCACCTTCCTTACTTGGGTTTGGTTGGGGATATTTTAATAAATCAAGCGCAGAAATAATCCTTAGAATATTCTCTTTAACTACCACTATTTAGTTTTCAACATAATCACCAGACAACTGGATACATTTCTGCCAACGATGAACAAGTTTTCTGAAGCCATCTCGGAAGAAGTCAACACTCTGTTTCCACAACCAGCGTCTCACTGTTCTCTCAACATCTTCATCAGAAGCTTAATGATGTCCCCACAGATCTTCTTTAATTATCGAGAACAGATGAAAGTCAGATGGTGCTAAATCTGGACTGTTTGGAGGATGCCATATGGTAGTGAGATCCAGTCTCTGAAGTTTCAAGTCTGTGCACTTTCATTTCACTCGTCACCATCCTGGGTATCCATCGTGCACAGATCTTCCGATAGCCAAGCCAAGCAACAATGTGACCCACACGTTCTTGTGAAATGCCGATTGTGCTTGAAATTTCTCTCTGAGTGATACGACGATCATCCTGAATCAATCTGTCAACCTTTTGCTTGTGAAACTCGGTGGTTGCTGTCACAGGACGTCCAACTCTTTGTTTGTCATGCAAGTCAGATGTTCCCACCCCAACATCTTTAAACTTACTTGCCCAATGACACACAGTACTCACATCAACACAATCACCATAAACAGCTTGCATTCTCTGATGAATCTCCTTTGGGGTGACACCTTCTGCGGTCAAGAATTCAATGACTGCATGTTGCTTAAGTCGCATTGACCAACCATCTGCGCAGGGTTCCATACTTTGCACTTTAACAACACAACCATTCAATGCTAAGGCTTCCCACCAACATGGAACTGTAGAGGAGAGTCTACTGAACAGGCCAGTACCTGCTGCATACCAGTACTGCCATCTGTTGAGGAGTTACGGAGGTGAAGGCTTTACTTTTCATTCAAACCTTGTAAAACAAAAACTGATAGCAAATGCTACACTGTAGTCAAAGGCTCCAGTCCAGTGGTCAAATGCTGAGAGTTCAATGAGCAAAGTCCAGGGATCAAGATTCTACACCGTAGTCAAAAGCCAGTCCAACAATTCAAGGTTCCAGGGTTCCAAGAGTTCAGGAGACAGGTCAGGACAATGAAAATCCAGAGAACTGGGGGAAACCAGCAGCATCTACCACCAAAATAACACAAATACTTTTTTCCCAGCTCCAGCAGACCTCACCTCTGAGGATGCTTGCCATAGATGCAGGCTGCCTCTAGAACATGGCCATATAGCCCGAAAAAACCCACAAGAACTGAAAGACAATTACTTTTCTCCCAAAGATCAGCCCCAAGGTTAGCCCCTTAAGTCCAGTAACACCCAGCTGCAACCATACCTTGCATTCCTCCACCCTGAATAGCTTTTACCTGTAAACTGTTACTTACAAATCACTCAGCCCTTTAGAACTAAGACTCACATCACCAACTGCAAGGTCTGCCGCCACCAACCACCATCAGCTTCAGGACATGATACATGACAACCTAGCAGTTTGAAAGCATGCAATGTGAGTTGATCAATAGGTACCACCTCAGCGGGAAGGTAAAAGGGTGTCCCATGCAGACATGCCAGTAAAAAGATTGGAGATGTCTATGGACAGCAGGCATGGAAAATGGAACAAGAGCACTTCCCATGGACGGATGTTGAGCATCACCTCCAGACACCGGAGATGGAAAAGAGGAAGGCCTTTCTCTTATCTGTGTACTGTATATTTTTGCTCGTGTAAAATGGCACTGAATGTTTGCCTTATATGTGTACTGTAATCTGCTCTGAGACTCTCCAGAGAGATATAGTGGAATATAAATAAAGTGTGTTGTTGTTGTTGTTGTTGTTGTTACTAGCCGTCCCCTGCCACGCATTGCTGTGGCCCACATGGGGGTTCTGTGTGGGAGGTTTGGCCCAATTCTATCATTGGTGGGGTTCAAAATACTCTGTGATTATAGGTGAACTATAAATCCCAGCAACTACAACTCCCAAATGTCAAAATTCTATTTTCCCCAAACTCACCAGTGTTCACATTTGGGCATATTGAGTATTCGTGTAGAGTTTGGTCCAGACCCATCATTGTTTGAGTCCACAGTGATCCCTGGATGTAGGTGAACTACAACTCCAAAACCAAAGGACACTGCCCACTAAACCCTTCCAGTATTTTCTGTTGGTCATGGGAGAACTGTGTGCCAAGTTTGGTTCAATTCCATCGTTGGTGGGGTTCAGAATGCTCTTTGATTGTAGGTGAACTATAAATCCCAGCAACTACAACTCCCAAATGACAAAATCCATTTTTTTAGTGAAGGACATACATTGGGTTGTTAGGTGTCTTGTGTCTAAATTTGGTGTCAATTATTCCAGTGATTTTTGAGTTCTGTTACTCCCACAAACGAACATTACATTATTATTATTATTATTATTATTATTATTATTATTATTATTATTATTATTATTATTTGAAACACAACAAGATGAGTCCACAGCAAGCAAGATCACTCTGCTGGCTGTTGTATTAGATCACACGTTGGACACTTCCCAAGTGTCTAGGACTGTGTGATGATGATGATGGTTATTATTATTATTATCTGCCCTGACTCAATACTATGCAACCCTGGGAGTTGTAGTTTGGCAAAGAACCAGCCCTCTTTGGCAGAGAAGGGCCAATACCTTGCAAAACCATGACTCTTACTGTTCCATAGCATGGAGCTATTTTAATTTTTTGAAAAACCAAAATACTGAAAGATCCAATTGTTGTCACTCTCGTCCAAAGGCAAGATCTAAACCCTGAACTCTTTTGCTTCTGTTTAGCTTCTCTGAGCGTTACTTCAAGCCGAGTTCCTCTCGGAGCAAAGGAACATATTGGAAAGCCAAGTACATTGAATATACAGATGAAACATTCCGAAAGGAAAAGGAGCGAAAGCAAGACGAGAGGCACCTTGGGATACTTGGTAATGAGGCGGAATTAAGGGTCCGTTTGCAGGTTTTTTTGTTTAGGTTTGCAAACTTGCGTAGTGCTTTGCTGACCCTTGCTTTAAGAACCCACCATTTCCTCACTTCGCTTCCAATGCTCTTTGTTTGAAACAAGGTGTCAGGTAGAAAATGCTGAATTAGATAGGAATGCATTGCATGGACCTCCAGTGTGGAAAAATACAGTTCTTTTTAAAATAGATTTTAATTGAAATTTTAGCAATAATACATTAAACGAGAAAGAAGGGGAGGGAAAGGAAAAGGAGAGAAGGGGGGAGAAGTAGGTAGATGGGTACAAATTGATAGGGGGAGATGAAAAAAAGAGGAAGAGAAAGGAAGAAAGGAAAAAAAGAAAGAAAAGAAAAGAATTGGAGCGGGGGGGGGCTGATGAGAGGACGTTTATAATCTTCTTCTCCTCTCGATCTGGGGGTGTTTTTCCTCGTTTGTTTAGCTGTTGTCATTCCCTTATGCATCACATTGCCTTTCCAGTTGTCTCATTGATGTAGTTTTGGACAATAGTCCAATCTGTTTTTTCTTCTGTCATTTGCTTGTTTCTAAGATAATGAGTGAGTCGGTCCATAGTCATAATCTCTATAATTTTGATTATCCAGTCTTCTATATTTGGTAAGTCCTTTCTTTTTCAGTTTCTTGCGTAGATGATTCTTGTGGCTGTGGTCAGATAGGTAAATAGTTTTTCCTTGTTTTTTTCCATGGCGAAATCAGTGATTCCTAGAAGGAAATACTCAGGTTTTAATTCTATGGATAAGTCCATAATTCAGTTCTTGTGGGTTTTTTTGGGCTATATGGCCATGTTCTAGAGGCATTTCTCCTGACGTGTTGGGGTTCAGCCTGAGTTTGAACTTGAACCTGATTCTCTGTTTGTTCCTCCTGATGCTAATGAAAGTATATTTACTGATGCTAGTGGAAATGTACCTTTTGATGCCAATGCTCCTGAAATTAGTGAGGAAGAAACTGCTGTAGGTTTGGAAAATGCCAATGTTCCTGAAATTAGTGAGGAAGGAACTTCTGTAGATTTGGAAAATGAAAGTACCAGTGTTCCTGAGAATGTTTCAGAGGGAGACCTTGAACTTTCCCTCCCTTCTGCACCTGTTAACTGTAATGACAACAGAAGGGGCCAAATTTGGGAAGACAGAAGTAAATCACTCAGTTTGCGTCGATCCTCCCCGAATTCAAGAATTAAAAACATTGGCTTCAAAACAGAAGGGCGGTTCACGGAACCAATTCTTGAGTTTTAATTGCAATACGCCGGGCTGATTGTCTCAGTTCAGGCATCGTTTCAGAATTGATGAAGACCTTGGCAGTTCTCCCGGTTCCCTGGCCATAGTTTTGGGAAGATTTCTAGGATATCAAGTACGGTTAGTGGATTGCTAACAGGTTCCAGTATTTCACAGTGAGGCTTTTGGTTTTGCTTGGTCCATTTAAATTCATGTTTGCTGATTTTGCTGTGGCTTTTGACTTGCATTTTTCCTTGATTTTGTAACCATTTTTCTTCAATAAAAAAGGATTGTTTTTCACAGCCAAGTGTGGTGGATAGTTATCTTAGGGCCTCGTTCCCTGCTCTGGATTGCAACAGACGTTTCGCCTGCATCTATGGCAAGCATCCTCAGAGGTGAAACGTCAGGAGAAATGCCTCTAGAACATGGCCATATAGCCCGGAAAAAACCCACAAGAACTGAGTGATTCCAGCCATGAAAGCCTTCGACAATACAAGTCCATAATTCTTTGCATAGCTATGAGTATCATCTTCCAAAATTTATTTGCCTTTTTGCATGTCCACCAAAGGTGGAAGAAGGATCCTACTTGTGAGTGACACTTCCAACATTTGTCTGATTGATTTTTGTAGCATTTCGCTAGTTTGCTTGGGGTTATGTACCAAAAGTACATCATCTTGTACCAGTTTTCGCATAGGTCATGAGAATCTGTGTATTTTTTTTTTAGAGTTCCATATTTTCTCCCAATCTGTTATTTGGATATTATGACCGATGTTTTGTGCCCACCTCACCATGCACTCTTTTATTTGTTCTCTCTCTGTCAACCAGGTTAAAAGTACTTTGTAGATTTTGGAGATTAGTTTATTGTTGGAGGAAATAATCTTGTCCCAATTTTGTCCCCTTCTTCAAATCCAACTTTCTTGTCTTTATTAAAAGCCTACTTTAATTGTCTATACTGGAACCATGATAGATCATGGTATATTCTTTTTATTTCTTCTTGTGTCTTTAAAGTGTAACCATTATCTTGTTTTGTTAGGATCTCCTTATATTTCGGCCAAATTTCCCATCCAAGTTCTTGTCTCTGCATCGCTTCTAGAGGAGCTTTTTTTGGTGGAATTTACTTTTATGCGTTTCCAAGATCTTGATAAGGGATGAACGTATGAAATGGTTGCCAAAGTTCTTCTCTATGGCTTTCTTTCCATACCACGTTTATGCGTGCCAGCCGCTGCGTAGGTCGTGACCTAGAGTCAAATATTTTACTTTATTAAGGTTGCACCAGTCTCGCATCCACTGGAGGCCACATATCTCATGATACAACCATAGGTTCGGCAGACCTAGTCTTCCTCTCTTTCTGTCGTCGGTTAAATTAGATAATTTTATTCGAGTTTTTTTCCTGCCCATATGAACTTTGTTAGGTCTTTATTCCATGTTTGACATTTTTTAATGTTTCTGATAATAGGGATGGCTTGAAATAGAAAAATTAACTTCGGCAGTATGCTCATTTTTATCGCAGATAAAAAAAGCGAAAAATACAGTTCTAATGCACATGTGTTCACAACACAATCCACTGAAGAGTTGAGAAAGTAGAGATGTCATCCTAGAGGGACAGCTGAGTGGCTTGTATGTGCACTTCCTCTTTGCCATGTGCTTTCTCTCTGCCATCTTTGATTGCTTGCTATGCTCTCCCTGCATCTGTAACCCATCACCATCCTCATCGTGTGAGTGTCTTGTTCTGGTTGTATCTGTGTAGCATACCTGTAAATAGTTGTATGTAGCAATGACTGAAGAATAAGCCTCCAAAGGCATTTGGATGAAAGCCAGAGCTCAAGTGTGCTTATTCAAGCAGATGAGCTACTAAACAAGGTCAGAGGCTGTGCTATGAATTCTCTGCTAACTGTAACCAAGACTCTGCAATGTTTCGGGGATTGGAACTAACTGCTTGCCTTGGAGACAGTCCATTCCATTGCGTAGCTGGAGGAGGACATAAAAGGAGGAGTTCACATGACTACCTCGCAGGGGTATTGTGTGTGTTTTACTCTCTCTCTTCTACCCCCACGACAGAAGTCCCTTCTCATGTAACTTCAGAGCATTAGACCTGTACCTATCCTCTGGGTATTAAAAGATACTTGTCAATCCGTTTCTCCTCTCTTTTTCCCTTCCTTCCTGCAGGACCAGTGATCAAGGCGGAAGTGGGAGACACTATCCAGGTGACCTTTGCCAACAAGGCTTCTTGGCCCTTCAGCATCCAGCCCCACGGAGTGTTTTACGGAAAGGAATGGGAAGGCACTCCATATGATGACGGTATGGGCTCACTCCTATTGGCATCAAGGAAGCTGTGTTTGGGTGTGTGGTGAAGTGTAAATTTTAATCTACAGTTATGTATAGCTATAGATAGGTGTTTAGAGAGGTAAGTATTTAGAATATCATAAATGGGGGATGACAGCCAGCTCAACTCACTTTGAGCTGGGTTGCTATGGAAATAGGGGCGGAGCCAACTGCCACTTGGCAGGGCAGCCATTTTAAAACAGTCAGTCTGTAGTCTGTGAACTGCAGGAGTGGCTGGTTCTGTGGTGTGTTGAGAACCAGTAAGTCAGTCTGTAGTCTGTGAACTGCAGGAGTGGCTGGTTCTGTGATGTGTTGAGAACCAATAAGTCAGTCTGTAGTCTGTGAACTGCAGGAGTGGCTGGTTCTGTGGTGTGTTGAGAACCAATAAGTCAGTCTGTAGTCTGTGAACTGCAGGAGTGGCTGGTTCTGTAGTAGTGAGAACCAGGAAGGTAATCTGTGGTTTAAAAACTACAGGGTAAGGCTGATTCTACTGTAGTGAGAATCAGGAAGGTTTTGGCTTTTAGCTTAGGTAGTTTAGATAAGCCGAGTTGACTTATTTATATTAGTATTTAGTGTATGAGTAGAAGGGGTGAGAGAAACCCTGTGAGTCTTTATTGCAACAGGAACATCACAAAGAAAGAATAAGCTTGTATCTGAAGTAATATTAAGAAAAAAACACAGTTTGAAGAAAAATAAGTTTAAAACCTGTTTAGTAGAAGGAAGAGTCCTTTCCAGAGTTGGTTTAAAGAATGTTATAAATGTAACCTCTGAAGATATGGGCCTCTAAGAGTAAGAAACATTGAAACCATCAAGCTTCTTCTACATTTCAATAAACTTGTTACACTTGTTCTTATAAAGCCCGGTCTCTGTTACAAATCCTTTCCAGAGTTAAGTCAGGCTACATCTTGAAGAAAGACCAGTTCAATATTACTACCTATTAGCTACATTATCAATTTAATATGCCCTTACAAAGTGGTGGCATCTTTACAAAATCTTTACAAATTGGTGGCCATATCTACAGGGTGCATCTACACAACAGAGTTAATGCAATGTATTGTCGAAGGCTTTCATGGTTGGAATCACTAGGTTCTTGTGGGTTTTTTCGGGCTATAGAGCCATGTTCTAGAGGCATTTCTCCTGACGTTTCGCCTGCATCTATGGCAAGCATCCTCAGAGGTAGTGAGGACCTCACTACCTCTGAGGATGCTTGCCATAGATGCAGGCGAAACGTCAGGAGAAATGCCTCTAGAACATGGCTCTATAGCCCGAAAAAACCCACAAGAACCTAGAGTTAATGCAGTTTGACCCCACTTGAACTGCCATGGCTTAATGCTAGAGGACTCTGGGAGTTAGGCTGCTTAGGCTCAAAACTATGGAACTATGGGAGTTGTAGTTTTGCAAGGCATTGACTCTTCTCTGGACAAGGGTGCCTCACCAAACTACAACCCCCAAGGTTCCATAGCATTGAGCCAGGGCAGTTAAAGTGGGGTCAAATTGCATTGATTCTACAATGTAGATGCACCCTTAGACTGAAGATGAAAAAAGCCTTATCCATTTTCCATTTGTCCTGCTTTTACAGGGTTTACTATGCATTACAATATATATAACACAGGTTTTTTCCTGGGTTATAAGTGTCATTCGCTAATTGGTTCTATCATAAAAATGGGGAAAGTGTATTCAACTGCAAAAACTTTTTTTGGCAGGACATTTTATTTATTTGTTTGTTTTCTTGTTTATATATTTACTACATTTTTATGTATGTATTTATTTATTTATTTACCACATTTATATGCCGCCCTTCTCACTCTGAAGGGGACTCAGAGTGGCTTACAAGATATATATACATACACACACACACACACACATATATATGCATATACCTACACATACAATATATTATATTATTAGCATAGTACAATATCGGTATTATATATTACTATATTGTACTATACCATTATATTGTAATATTATTAGTAATATTACATTGTATAGTATACAAATATATATATAATATTGTATTATCATTATTAGTATTATATTATATTGCATTATAATATTATCAATATTATATTATATACAACATAATATAATACAATATAATACATCCTGATATAGCACGTTTTGCTACGCTTTTTCCAATTAATATCTCAAGAATCTCAGCCAATCCAGCACAGTTTGTGCCACGAAAATGAATTTTCTGGAGTAGAACAACTACTTTCAAAATAAGTACCGCACAATTAAACAGGAAATAACACTTTCAAATCAGAAACAGATTTTTTTTCCAGATTTTGTTACATAGTGTGATTTATTTATTAAAAAGGCCAGCTGAACCAATAAATGTACAAGAGAGCCTGTAAAAGCAAGATAGATCTTTGGCAATAGATTTTTTCCCCTCCAATTATAATTCTATACAGTGTTCCCCCACTACTTCGCGGTTCGTTTATTGCGAACTCGCTGTTTCTTGGTTTTTTCCTCTCCACCCCCCCCCCCCAGAGCCACTGGGGGGAGGGGAGGAGGAAGAAGAGGAGGAAGAGGGGAGGGGGAGCCAGGTGTTGGCAAATGGTGGGACCAGAGGATGCTGGATCCCTGGGAGGCGGCGGTACCTTGCTCCCTTCCGGCCAGGAGGAGGCGGTGGTGGAGGAAGAGGGTGAGCACAGGCCTCGGCCAAGCTGCTACTGAGCCGAGATGAACTTGCCCAATGGGGAGGCCTGTGACCCAGAGTAAGGGATTCCTCTTCTTCAGAAGAGGAAGGGGAGCAGGGAAGTGCTCAGGAATTGGAAGAGGAATCAGATGATGAGGGCTTGCAAGTGCCCACATTTCTGGAGAGGCAAAAGGAGACAGAGCACAGATGGCGTTCAACTAGAATAGCTGCTAGAAATGCTAAGCTAATTGGGAGACACCCTAGCACTTCCTGTGTGGGGAATTCAGGGCTATAAATCAGAAGCACAAGCAGTCAGCTTTTGCTGATAACAACGACTCTAATGCTGATGTTTTCGCTCCAATTGAACCTGCTTCAAGTCTGCATCTGAGGATTTAGTTCCTTGCCCATTGTCAGATGTAAGACTGCTGTTTCTTTTGGGACTTTATAAGAGACTTTAATTTTGTGCCTGCATTAAGACTTCCTTGCTTTCATTTGCATTTTTCACCTGCCTTTGATGATCCTTTGTGTTTGCTGAAGTAAAGCATTTTTCTTTTACTTTCAACATTGTATTAAGGCTGTTTTTGAAGGGCACATCAGGACACCCAAACCGGATGAGAAGAAGAGCCTGGGTGGAAGAGACGGAGGAGGAGGGAGTCACTGCTGCTGCGCTGTCGCTGCCTACTGCAAGTGCTTGGGGGTGCTCTTCATCTCCTTCTCCTTTGCTCTTCTTCTCATACAGCCTGGGCTTCCCTACATCACGGATTTTCACTTATCGCAGGTGGTCCTGGAACGGAACCCGTGATATGTGAGGGAACACTGTAGTCCCATAATATTTCTCTGCACTTCTGGAGTCTCCTGCGCATTGATCAGAAAATCCAACTGCATCCACCATATGATGCTCTTTCCTTGCACAGGATTGTCCCATAAAGGCACTGAGGTGAGGCCCATGAGGAACTTCACCTATCGGTGGACGGTGCCACAACACGTAGGACCCACTCACACAGACCCCTCTTGCCTTACCTGGATGTACTCCTCTGCGGCGGACCCCACCAGAGACACCAACTCCGGTTTGGTGGGGCCCTTGCTGGTCTGCAGACCGGGGACTCTTGATGAAAGGAACCATCAGGTACAGTCTCTTCGCCTGTTGTTCTCTCAGGGATGATCCTGTTCCTGCAGAAGTGGAGCATGAGAGATCTATGGTGGGATTCTACCATGACTTCTGTCTTGCAACCCTGAGCTATTATCTTCTTTGTCTTGGGGTGGAAAAGGTGAAACTATGGCATGTGAAGGCCTATGTCTCCAAGTAGAGCATGCGAGATCTATGGTGGGATTATACCATGGCTTCTCTCTTGTCACCCTGAGATCTTATCTTCTGGGTTCTGGGGTGGCGAAAGATGATGCTTTGAAGGCAAACACTAGCAGCTAAAATAGAGTATAGCAAGATTATTGTTTTTCTTTGCCATCAAGTCAGCTTTGATATTTGAATGAGAGATCTTGCAAAGTCAAGGTTGAGGACACTTGATGGAGTTGATCTACTTTAGAGAGTAGTGTTGTATCTTCCCAAGCATTCTTGTCTTTCCCAATTAGTCATGTCATCTCTTGATATTTCCAACATTCGACAGCCTTGGTTAATTCATCTTCCTTTCTAGTAATACTCCTCATATTGCATGATGAGACGATCCAACTTGAAAGAAGATTATTAGTGCATGCGAACCTGAACCTTTGACAACCTTGACCTCTTGTGTCTCCTTGTTATCTTAGAAAGGCATTGATAAGGAATTGTATCTCTTATTTGGGGTGTTTGATGAAAACCTCAGCTGGTATCGGGATGCGAATCTGAAAACTCTGAATCATTTCTCAATGCATGAGGATGAAGTCTTCAAGGAGTCCAACAGGATGCATGGTAGGTCCAATGCGCCCTTTTCTGAAGATCCGGGTTTACGGCCTGTAGTTTTGCAAGCTATTTCTCTTTCTCTTCCTAAGAGGGCTGATGCCTCACTAAAGTACTACTCTAGGATCCCATAGCACTTAAAGTGGTATAGAACAACAGTGTAGACACACCCTTGGATGATGATGATGTTGTTATTTATTTATCATGTCATCAGCAACCATACCATTGTATTACATTTCTAACAGAACAAAACAAACAAACAGATACAGATTTTGCAAACTTGGTAGTTGATTAAATGTCCTTTGACCAGTATCTGGCCACTTGGAGTGCCTCTGGTGTTGCCGCAAGAAGGTCCTCCATGGAGGATGATGTTGTTGATGACAACCTAGACTCTGGTTGGGTCACTCCCATCTGATATTATGTCCTCTTCCCTTTCCTGCATGGAAGCCATAAATGGGTTTGTGTACAGCAACCTGCCCCTCCTTGAGGTTTGCAAAGGAGAGACCATTTCCTTGCATCTTTTGGGCTTCGGAGGAGAAGCGGGCATCCATGGCATTGCCTTCCAGGGAAACACAATCCTGATGAATGGGATGCGACGAGACACCACCAGCCTCTTTCCTCACACTTTTGCCACTGCCCTCATGCAACCGGATGAAGAAGGTAAATACTTACTTTAGTTGACCTCCCTTTTCTCCTTCCCAAGCCAAACCCTGATGTGAAGTTCTCCAGATATATTTAGGTGCACCTACACTGTGGAATGAATGCCGCCTGGCACCACTTTGATGGCCGTGTCTCAGTGCTATGGGCCCACGTCTATCCATTCTCCCTCTTAGGGACTTTTGAGGTATACTGTCAGACTAGCAACCACTATCAGTCTGGGATGAAGGGTCGTTACTCTGTCTGCAAATGTGGGAAGGAGATGCCTTTTGGTGACCAAGTTTATGAGAAAGTGAGGACCTTCTACATCATGGCGGAAGAGGTGGAGTGGGACTATGCTCCAGACCGCAGCTGGGAGCTGGAGAGACACAACAGATCTGCAGGAGAAAGGTAGGAATGTAGAGTCAAAGAGTTGGAAAGGATCCCCAAAGTGCATCTAGTCCAACCCCCCCCCCCCTTTGGCTTTACAAGACTCTAGAAGGAAAGCAAAGGCCCTATGAATAAGCATAGTCTTGGGAATTATATCAATGTATGCTTGTGTCAGCTCTGAACTGTTGTCTACAGACTTCTTATCCATCAAAGGTTCTTCTTCTAGGGACTTCATCACACACAATAAAATAAGCATTTCTTCACACTTAAAAAAACTTCAACCGACAGTGCCCTTCACACAACACAAGCTTCAAATGTGGAATAGTGGTATCTTGCCATTTCTAAAGTGTGAGTTTTCCTGACAATTCCTACACTGGTTGACAAGCAACTTATTCCTTAGAGACATGTAAAGATGCTCAATTTAACATGTGATAGGATTTCCCCCTAGCCTATTGTAAACATAACAATGATGTCACCATGGAGAGAGGAGTCGGGATAGGCAGTATTGATTCCTTTCTTCCGCCATGACCGTTTTGGGACTGAGGAGGTATCGCAAATATTCAAAGATATTCAAAACATTCAGGAGGAAAACCCTGCGCTTGTCTCTGAGATTTCTCTTTCAACATTCCCCCTTCTTCCTGTGTTATCTCCCTTTTCGTAAAAGTCCTTTTGAGCTCTTACCTACTGTTTTCTCAATTGCCTCTCCTGAAACTCCTGCTGTGCTATTAGGCTTTTGTTTTGCCTATCAAAAAGCTAGCAGAGAGAGACATAAGAGAGCTAAAGCTTTATTTACCCCCCTCCTTCCTATTCTCAATTCAACAACATAAGAATAACTCCTCTATATATGTTGTGAGTTACTTGGTCCTCATGGTCAGGCGCAAGGCCGAACAGGGTATAGGGTCACAACCTGTGCTGGACGGGGTTACACTCCCCTTTAAGGCACAGGTTCGCATCTTGGGGGTCCTCCTGGACTCCTCCCTGACCCTGGAATCCGAGGTTGCAGCAATGGCCAGGGGAACTTTCACACAATTAAAACTTGTGCGCCAGCTGCTCCCATACCTTGGGAAGTCAGACTTGGCCACGGTGGTCCACGCTCTTGTTACATCTAGGATAGACTACTGCAACACACTCTACGTAGGGTTGCCTTTGAAGACTGCTCGGAAGCTTCAAATAGTCCAATGAGAGGCAGCCAGGTTAATAACTGGGGCAGCATACAGGGAGCACACAACTCCCATGTTACACCAGGTCCACTGGCTGCCAGTTTGCTACTGGGCACAATTCAAAGTGCTGGCTTTGGCCTATAAAGCCCTAAATGGCCCCAGCCCAAATTACCTGTCCAAACGCATCTCTCCCTATGAACCATCGCAGAGATTAAGATCCTCTGGGGAGGCCCTGCTTTCCGTCCCGCCATTGTCACAGGCGCGATTGGTGGGGACAAGGGACAGGGCCTTCTCGGTGATTGCTCCCCGGCTATGGAACTCCCTTCCTGGTAAGATCAAGTTGGCCCCCTCTCTCCTGTCCTTTTGGAGGATGGTAAAAACTTGGCTGTGGGACCAATCTTTCGGGACACGACAATAAAGCAGCAATAGGAAAGATGACCAAGCCAATTAGACTTGATGTGGATGACTAGGGTGGTTTTAAATGGTGTATTCTAATATTTTGATAAGTGTTAATGTTTATGTATGTATCTAAGAATTTGTGTCCTGGCATTGAATATTTGCCATATTTATGCTGTGCCCTGCCCTGAGTCCCCTTCATGGTGAGAAGGGCGGAATATAAATGTTTTAAATAATAATAATAATAATAATAATAATAATAATAATAAAAAATTGAACTCCCGAGATTACAAAGACAGACATTTTTGAAAAATTAAGAAAACGATGAGATTCAGTGGGAGGAAACTGTGTGATGGCAAATCCAATAGATAAATCTTAACAAAAAGGAAAAGGGTGTGATGGAGGTAGGGAAATCATCTGTTTAATTTCCAAACGGGTCTTTGTGAAGCTTAAGAGAAAGCCAACTATCCCAAACACTTTACATATTCCATGTGATGAAGTCCTAGGTTTCAGTCTTAATTATATCAAGCTCATCACTAAAGCAGTTCAGTACTTTGTTGGGTTCTTTTCAGACTAAAATCCCATTAATATGGGGATCGCCAGCCGTGGTTGTAGCGGCCTTTCATCTTGGCTTTGTTCTCGCCTGCGGCACTCAGGCTCCCGCGGGTGACGTTCTGGGCAAGGACCCTGTTTCATCTCCTGAGACTTTGTGTTGTTTTATTAATGGCGACGGGGTATCAATAATGCAGAATAGAGCTTTGAAACCCGCAGGTACGGCGAGGTGTTTCTGAGCCACGGAAATGGTCTGCTGGGCTCCAAATACAAGAAAGCCGTTTACAGAGAATACACCGATGGGACATTTCAGACCCAGAAGGAGAGGCGCAATGGAGAGGAACACCTTGGGATTCTGGGTGAGAACGGGCAGCAAACCGAACGTTCTTCAGGTTGAGTCTCTTCTCCCGTCGCTTCTTAAACTCTCTGATTTGGTGGTTTTTCAAGCAGCACCACATTTATTCCTATTGGCTAGGCATGGGGTGAAAGCTCATTCTTTTTCCCATTGCAGTTGAAAATGAAGGAAATCCCTTCTTTCCCTCCCAGGTCCTTTCCTTTGGGCCGAAGTGGGAGACGTCCTCAACATCGTGTTCCGGAATAACGCAACCCGGCCATACTCCATCCATGCCCATGGCCTTTTGGAAAAGACCGGTGCGGACCCGGAAGCTGCAAAGCCAGGTGAGCATGCAGTCCAAGGGCTTGTCTTGCCTTCTGGACTCATTCGTTGCAAATTTCCAGGCATCAGAACTTGATGGGTTGAGTGATGCATTCATTGCCCTTGAAGGGCAACGTTGCATGGCTGAAACCCATGCCCAGTACTGTGCCATGTGCAACTCTGCCCAGCCGTAAGAGGCTGGCATGGATGTTCTTAAACTGTTCCACATCAAACATAAATGCCCAACCTCTTACACATAAGACATTCACATAATTGCCACCACTGCATGCCATAATTTGGTATGTGAATATGCTGGTGCTTCTGCTGTGCCCTCCCCTGGAGAAGGCAGACCAGGCTTTGTCTTGGTTGCTTCCTGGTTAGACAACTGTAATGCTTCACTTGGAAAGTACTTAGAGTGATTTCTATATCCTTCCTCTTCCTTTTCTCCTTTTCCTTCTCCTCCTTCCTCTTCTTTCTCCTTTTCCTTATTCATTTTCTCCTCCTCCTCCTCCTTCTCCTCCATCCTCTTCTCCTTTTCCTTCTCCTGTTCCTTCACTTTCTCCTCCTCCTTCCTATTGTTTTTCTCCTTTTCCTTCTCATCCTCCATCTCCTTCACCTCCTCCTCCTCCTTCTTCCTCTCCTTCTTCTCCATCTCCTCCTGCTTCTTCTTCTTCATCTCCTTCTCCCTTTCCTTCTCCTCCTCCATCACCACCTCCTCCTCCTCCTCCTTTTTCTTTTCCTTCTCCTCCTCCATCTACTTCTCCTCCTYYRTCTCCTCCTTCCTCTTCTTCTTTTTCTTCTCCTCCTCCATCTCCTTCTTCTCCTTTTCCTCCTCCTTCCTCCTTTGCCTTCTCTTCCACCTCCCCCTTCTCCTTCTCCTTCATATTCTTTTTCTCCTTTTCTTTCTCATCCTCCATCTCCTCCTCCTCCTGCTTCTTCCTCTTCTTCTCCTTTTCCTCCTCCTCCTCCATCTACTTCTCCTCCTTCCTCTTCTTGTTCTTTTTCTTCTCATCCTCCATCTCCTTCTTCTTTTCCTCCTCCTTCCTCTCTTTCTCCTTTGCCTTCTCTTCCACCTCTCCCTTCTCCTTCTCCTTCATATTCTTTTTCTCCTTTTCTTTCATATACTCCATCTCCTCCTCCTCCTGCTTCTTCTTCTTCCTCTCCTTCTCCCTTTCCTTCTCCTCCTCCATCTCCTCTGTCTCCTTCTTCTTCCTCCTCTTCTTCTCCTTTTCCTTCTCCTCCTCCATCTACTTCTCCTCCTTCCTCTCCTTCTCCCTCTTCTTCTTCTTTTCCTTCTCATCCTCCATCTCCTTCTTATTCTCCTCCTCCTTCCTCGTTTTTTCCTTCTCCTCCTCCTCCTCCCCCTCCTTCCTCCATCTCTTCTTTTGAGCAAAGGGTCATGAGAAAGATTTTATACTTGGATATATTTGTTAGTGTGAACTTAGATCAGAAACATCCATGGGTCTCATTCTCCCTCCTTGTTCTCCCAGGTGAAATTGTAACATACCAGTGGGATGTCCCTGCAAGATCTGGTCCAGGACCAAACGATTCCGCCTGTGTCTCTTGGATTTACTACTCCAGAGTGGACCCTGTGAAGGTCAGCCATTGTCCACTACTGGGAGGGAGCGGGAAAACATGGCATCATCTGAGGAAGCCCCCCACCCAGAGGTCCATTCATGTTAACTGTTGATTCGATCCCAGTTATCTCTCCTATCTTTAGTAGAGCTCTCCTGATAAAGATTACTTTAGTTCCCTAAAAAAGGTGTGTTTTGTCCCTTAAGTGCTTATTTCCCAACCACACAACTGCCAGAACATTTCCTCTGCTTCCAAAGTCTATATTTGCCAAGACACACTGGACTCAACCCAGTCCAACGAGACCAAAGGTGTCAGTTCAGGTGGAAGTCCATATAGGTTGACCAGGGTTGCCAGTTATCCCTTATTAGAAGGGATTTCCTTTCTTTCAGAGTGGAAATCTGGCAGGAATCCCTTATTATAAGTAGACTCACTGTTTGAGGATTGAGCAGCTTTTCCTATTATAGAGACAGAACAAGATGCTCAATGTTTTGGTGTGTAGGCTCATCATAAATACCTTGACAAAGATGTCTAATTTGCATGGGTAGATTATCCTGAAACCAACACTTCCATTTGGTCTTTAGGTAGAACAAAGTCATGTTAATAACTGGTTCCTCATTGCCAACCCTACATGTCATGGGGTTGGGCTGTCCCTTGTTTCAGTTTTGCAAACCGTAGTGTGGATTTACCATACGGATTTTCTTCCTATTTGGCTTCCTTTCCTTTCCAGGACCTGTTCAGTGGCCTCATTGGGCCCCTGAAGGTCTGCCGTAAAGGGACCCTGGACTCGGATGGGAGAAGGAGAGGAGTCAGCAAGGAGTTTGCCCTCCTCTTCTTGGTCTTCGATGAAAACCAGTCCTGGTACCTGGAGGAGAACATGAAGAATTATGGCCAAGGAGAGCAGAACCGTTCCCGAGCGGACGAAGAGGAATTTGCAGAAAGCAACAAAATGCATGGTAGCAGGATTACATCCTTGCAGCTTACATTACGTTAGAAGGTGTATTTTATTGTGAGAGAGTAACACATTGCAGTTGTAATAATGGGTTTGTTGTATTGATTGTTTGGATAAAGGGAAGACAGCCCCTTGTATCACATCTGTAGCCATCTTGACGTTATAGTTTGGCCACACTTCCTGTTAGACTGTGATTCCAAACATGACAATAGTATCCTTCCCAGGACTGTTCAGGAAATGAAACACTCTTAGTGCAAAGTGTGTTGGTAAAGGAAAGCCTCTATATATATTGTCGAAGGCTTTCATGGCGCAATCACTATGTTGTTGTAGGTTTTTTCGGGCTATATGGCCATGTTCTTGAGGCATTCTCTCCTGACGTTTCACCTGCATCTATAGCAAGCATCCTCAGAGGTAGTGAGGTTTTTTGGAACTAGGGAAAAGGGTTTATATATCTGGGGAATGACAAAGGAGTGACATCTATATATATATATAAATGTAATGTTCATTTTTTTGGGAAGAACATAACTCAGAAACCACTCAATGAATTGATACAAAATTTTGACACAATACACCTAATAGTCCAACGAGTGTCCATCAGCCCTAAAACACCCCAAAAAAACAGCAGAATGGACTTTAAAAACCCAAAAAATCCATATATACATATGCACTCATATACATATACACATGTACACATACAGACAGACACACACACACATATATATATATGTACACAAGTACACACAAATATACACATGCACACATACAGACACACATATGCACATATACAAATGCACACATATACATATACATATAAACATAAACACAGAAATACACACATATATCCATGCATATGCACACAAATATATACATATATATATACATATATATATATACACACACACACAAAAGCAAACACAAACGCACACATATATACACATATACATGAATATATACACACAAAAAACATATACACAGACTGGGCCACAACAAGGCATGGCAGGGAACGGCTAGTATGCTATGAGAAACAGATGATTTTTCACTACTTGAAGGAGGACTTCTTTTCACAACAACAACAACAATAATAATACTTTAAGCAAATGCTAGGAACATGTCTGGCCTGGCTTGAATTCAAAAGTGTGTGTCTTTGGAACAACCCTTTATTTACCTTCCTCCCTTAGCCATCAATGGGAAGCTGTATGCAAACTTGCCTGGACTAACCATGTACGCTGGCGACTGGGTGAACTGGTACCTGCTGGGAATGGGCCAGGAGATCGACGTGCACACTGTCCATTTCCATGCGGAGACCTTCCTTTACCGGGTGAGACTCTGTTTATTCCATGAACACAGCAGAGTGAGTCTGCTCTGCACACAAAAGGAACTGTCCAATGTACTGAACGGTCTTCCAAATTGGCTTCTCATCTTGGGGAGTTCCTTGGAAGTGCAGGCTGAAACCTGGAGAGGGTTCACTGTGGCAACATCCGTGTTTGATGGGGCTTAGCATGGGTTTTAGTGGTGGGCGCCATCATTTCTTATGCTCCTTCTCCCTTCTGTTGTGTCAGAATGGCCAGATTCACAGGGCGGATGTGGTGGACCTCTTCCCGGGGACTTTGGAAATGGTGGAGATGCTGGCCAGCAATCCTGGGACGTGGCTCCTCCATTGCCATGTGGCTGACCACATCCATGCTGGCATGGAGACCTTGTTCACTGTCTTGCCCAGGCCAGGTAGGTAGGGTAATATCAGGTACCAGGTCTGATTCACCGTCTAGCCCAAGATGATGACACAGTCAGCTGGAAAAGCTTCTTCTATCAGCCTTTCTTCATCCCTCTTATTTTACCTGGGCTTTGGCATGGCACTGAAATCCATTAGACAAAGATTGTGGGATTTTGCCTTCTGTGAGCTGGACTCTCACTCGTATGTTTCTTGTTCCCCAAGTGCCCTGTGTATACACTATATTAGGCCTCCTCATGGAGAAAATTATCTTGACTGTGGCCAAATATCATTGCCTATTCTCCAAGGCAGGACACAATGTGTTCCTGTATGAAGGGCTTCAAAGTAGATTTGCAGAAGTCCCATACAATGCATGACTTTGCCCATGCAATAACTAGGACAGTGAATGTATGTATCACATCTTATGATCCTGCAGTTTTTACAAGCAGGCTCAGATACGTATGAGAAGCTTACCCTGTATTTCAGCCCAATTCTATGTAAAGTTTTTGCTAGGAGACAATTTCCTGTTGCCAAGTTCCTTTCTGAGGAAGCCTGGATAAGGCAACTTCCTGTATTAGACTCAGGGCGAAACCTCTCCTGTATCTATTTGCAGTGTTATTATCCTTATGCATGTGCATTTTGTGTTGCATGTTGTCCTGCATTTAATCAGTTTTATCAATTTATTGTTTTATCAAGGGAAGCAGTTAGCATTTGATCCAAAACATTGCAGAGTCCTTATGACAGCTAGCAGAGATTTATAGTCAGTTTATTAATCTTGTGATGCACCTTTCACCACTGAGCCGATTGTGTCTTTGGACTATAATAAGGTTTTGATTGAATATCAGGTATAATTGAAACTGAGATGCTGATTGTAATTAATCCCTTACCTTAGCTAGCTGGCAAAAGCCTAAGGAAGTGGGCCTGGCGAAGCCACAGCATGCATTTTAGGAAAGGGAGACAGGGAGATGCCATCTTAAGTTAGGTTTGCCTTAAGGGGGCATGTTCTAGTCTAGGAGGGAAAATCAGAAGGCTAGGATTGGTTAAGAAGATGGGGGCGGAGCCTAAGTGGCCTGAAGGAAAAAGTGTCTTTTAAATTGAGGTTTGAGGTCCCAGTTTGCCAGTTGGAATTCGGAACGGGTAGAGAGAAGAAGCGTGGGTGTTAGTGAGAGCAGTTTGGGTTTTGAAGAAGAAGCTTGGGTCAGTCTTTTGTGTAGTATTCAGAGTAGCTATTGAGAATATAGCTAGAATACTGTACCTGAATATTTCAAGTCTGTTCAATAAACGTTCTTGTTATCTTTATCAGCTTATACCAGCCTCAGTATGAATACCTTTGTGGTCAAAGCATTATTCAAGTCAGCTTTTAACAGCCTCTAAGAAAACTATAGTGACACAGTGTGGGTCACAGAACCATCTCTCAACATAGAAACAGCCTGTTTATTATTAATATGGTGGCAGCGGAAATCTTTTGAAGAATCAATTTAAGTCTCTCTGTTCAAGTGGTTCCCAGTTCCTAACTTTTATAGAGACAGTTGGTTCAACAACTATAATCCCTCTATATTTTGGTGAGCTAGTCTGTAGTGGAGGTATTATCGTTATAATTTGGCTGAGCAGCGTTGTGAGATTATTTTATATATATTTCCTCGTATAAGAATTTAATTAAAAATCTTCTCTACTACTCACTGCATTGTTATACTGATCCAGGGCTGAACATAACTACGATGCAAAGATAACATGCACCCGCACCATCCTGGCTTCACATAGAGAACTCTTTCGCCTGACTTGGGGTTGTTATCAGAATCCTAATTCTGTTGTTTCTTTTCTTTCAGACCCCAGGCGCTTGAATGTCAGTTCCGTGGCAGGTATGGCTTTTCTTGCTTCCTGGTCTCCTTGGGCATGGATAGGATTCCCTATTATTTGAACCCTAGTGAGATGCCTTCTCCATGCAGTACAATTCAGTTGTCTTTGCATTGCAGCAATCGTATCCTTGGTTTTTCTTAACCAGTAGAGTTTGCATGTCTTGGTCTCCAAATTTCGTGTCTTGGTCTCCAAATTAGTAGTGCAATAGGGTGGTTTCCCCAATGTAAGCTAGCATACATTTCTCTTAGTCACTTCTAATATATGTATTTGAATGGTTTTGTGGTCATATACACACACACATACATACGCACACACGTGCATGCTATGTTGTACTCTACTTTGAGTAGAGGTGAGTAAGAAATAACAACCACCACCACCACCACTACCTTGAGTCACCATAGGAACAAAGGCAAGGTATAAATGATGATGATGATGATGATGATGATGATGATGATGATGATGATGATGATATGTTCTTCAGGAGTCCCCAACAAGCTACCTTCTCAGCTTTAACCATGATTTATGTTTTCCTCTACAGCAATGGTTCTCAACCTGTGGGTCCCCAGGTGTTTTGGCCTCCAACTCCCAGAAATCCCAGCCAGTTGACCAGCTGTTAGGATTTCTGGGAGTTGAAGGCCAAAACATCTGGGAACACACAGGTTGAGAACCACTGCCCTACAGTGACACAAACCATGGCTAATGCTAGCTAGCAAGATTTCCTCCAAGACATGGTTTCCAAATTCACTTCATCTTCTGACTAAGGGGGAATGTAGGTTGCTATGAACTATGGTAGAAACTATGGTAGAACCCAGTGGCGGAGTGGGTTAAACCAATGAGCTGCTGAACAGCTAACCGAAAGGTCGCAGGTTCAAATCCGGGGAGTGGGGTGAGCTCCCACTGTTGGCCCCAGCTTCTGCCAACCTAGCAGTTAGAAAAACATGCAAATGTGAGTAGATCAATAGGTACGGCTCCGGCGAGAAGGTAACGGTGCTCCGTGTAGTCATGCCCTTGGAGGTGTCTATGGACAATGCTGGCTCTTTGGCCTAGAAATGGAGATGAGCAGCACAGTCCCAGAGTTGGACACGACTCGACTTAATGTCAGGGGGAAACCTTTACCTTTACTATGAACTATGGTTGGTGTTGAGGCAAATCTTCCAATATGGACATGCCATCCAGCGCTAGAGCCTCCTGAGCCAATACTTCTTACGAGCTACTTGGACAGGAGTCGACACACATTTTCTGAGAAATGTATTCATTTGAGATCCTGCTCAGTCTAGGCAATTAAACTTGAACAATGATATCAGTTACGTTCAAGCGTTGGAGAATACTTTTCTCTCCTAGTGCACCTTTTCCTTAGATGTATATTTTTCCAAGCCAAAGGAACTGAATGCGCTGATATTCTCCCCACTCCAAAATGTTCCCAAAGGTAGAGATAACATCCTGTTACTATAATGTACACCAGAAGTGAGTTTGTTCACAAAAGAAACCTCTTGAATTATGCAATGCTTGGAGTGTTTAACACAGTAGAGTGTGGGCCGCAAGCCATATTTGCCTCCAAAACGCTCTCAAATTGCACCTTTTTGTTTCATTTAGGGAGGGTTGAGCTAGAATTGACATCTGCACACTTCCAGTTGTCAGAAGAAAAGTCCTCAAATGGGACAGAAATGCTGAAGATGCATCCGTTTTCCCTGAAGCTTCTATAGATGTTTGAGGTCAAAAAGACCTTAAGGTTCCATTCTGTCTCCCATGCTTTTCAACATCTACATGAAACCACTGGGAGAAGTCATCCGGAGTTTTGGAGCTGGGTGCCATCTCTACGCAGATGACACACAACTCTACTACTCTTTCCCACCTAACTCCAAGGAAGCCCCTCGGGTGCTGGACGAGTGCCTGGCCGCTGTGTCTATCTGGATGAGGAGGAACAGACTGAAGATTAATCCCGTCAAGACAGAGGTCCTCCTGGTCGATCGTAAACCGGATCGGGGTATAGGGTGGCTCCCCCTGAAGTCTCAGGTCTGCATCTTGGGTGTCCTCCTGGACTCATCACTTACGCTTGAGGCTCAGGCGTCGGCGGTGGCCGGGAGGGCCTTTGCACAATTAAGACTCATGAGCCAACTGCAACCATACCTTGTGAAGGCGGATCTGGCCAGGGTGGTCCACGCCTTAGTCACCTCCAGATTGGACTACTGTCATGCACTCTACGTGGGGCTGCCTTGAAAACGGCCCGGAAATTTCAGTTGGTTCAACGGGCAGCGGCCAGGTTGTTAACTGGAGCTCCTTACAGGGAATGGTCAACCCTCCTGTTTAAGGAGCTCCATTGGCTGCCATTCATTTTCCGGTCCCAATTCAAGGTGCAGGTGCTTACCTACAAAGCCCTAAACAGTTTGGGACCCATCTACCTGCATGACTGCATTTCTGTATATGAACCCACACAATCCCTTCGATCATTGGAGAGGCCCTGCTCACGATCCCACCTGCATCGTAAGCACGATTGGTGGGAACGAGGGACAGGGCTTTCTCGGTGGTGGCCCCACGACTCTGGAACTTCCTCCCCAAGGACACCAGGCATGCCCCAACCTTGACAGTCTTTAGAAGGAGCTTGAAGACGTAGATGTTCCAGTGTGCCTTCCCAGAATAAGGAATCCCAAGCAATATGTCCCAATTGCACTTTACGAGAGATTTAGGATTGTCTGCACGCCCACCTATCCCTAAAATATCTATCCTATTTCACTTGGACATGCCCAGCATTTTTTAAAATTTCAATTATTACATTTGGCCCGGCCATTGGTTTTTAAATGCGTCTTGTTATTGTTAATGTTTATTGCTTATTTTGCTTATGAGTTTATTTATTGTTTTTGTATTATTATTGTTGTTATTGTTTATTGATGTATTGTGGGCTCGGCCTCATGTAAGCCGCACCGAGTCCCTTGGGGAGATGGTAACGGGGTACAAATAAAGTATTATTATTATTATTATTATTATTATTATTATTATTACTGGGAGGCCACTGGATTCAGTCCTCCAAGGACCACTTAACCTTCTGTAGTTGTGCAATGTAACACCTTTTAGGAAAGGTTTGCTTCCATCCTTACACCAAAAAAAGAGCAAAACATTGTTGTATCATTTCTGTTGAGGTTCTCCTTGAACGTTGGGTCCCTCCTTTGACTTTTCCCTCTCGCTCTTTGCTTTCAAGCGAGGCCTCCTGAAGATGGAGATGACCCTGACCACGTCGTGTTGTTTGGCTCCAAACTGGCACATGGGAAGGTCGAGGCCACCATTATCCTTTTGGCGGTGGCCGGAATAGCCCTCTTCCTCATTGCCGTTGTCCTCCTGGGCATCATCATCCACCGCGAAAGGCAAAGGAGGCTACGACGCAACCGGAGGTCCATCCTGGACGAGGGATTCAAGCTGGTGGCTGCAAAAACCCCTGAGATCTGAGTCTTCAGCCCAGAAGAGTTGCCTCAAACACACATTTTGCAGTCAGAACAATCACGTTTGTGCAAGAAACTGTTGGCGCAGGGTTAAAGTAAACACACATGCTAGGTAGATACATGAATCAATCTTCTCACGTTACCCTCCAGCTGTGTATGAGACTGAATACCTCTCAAGGGAAGCAGGTAGCATTCGATCCAAAACATCACAGAGTCCTTATCACAGTTAGCAGAGATTTATAGTCCAACCTCTGACGTTGCTTTCCGGTAGGCTGTTAGGAATTGTGGGAGTTAAAGTCCAAAACACATGGAGGGCTGACGTTTGGCCATGCCTGTACTACAGCTTTCCAAAAGGAAATTGCATCCCGTCATAAAAAGCAAAGGATTTCCGCCTTCTGAAAGAACCTAGGCTTGTTATTGAAGAAAATAGGATTCAAATAAATGGGTCCGTGTGGGATTTCCGTAGAAATGTTGACTCTAATCCCGACCAGCCTGCTGAGAAGTGCGTGGCAAATGGAAAGGTTCCTTGGCCTCAACCCAGGCCTTTTCCCACCTGTTTCTGACCAATATTGGAAGCCTTTTAGCGTTTGATTAAAATCTCTGCAGCTGCGGAGAAAATGCCTGGAGTGAGACCGGATCGGCTCATAAATATGGATGCGGATTCGGAAACCGTGTAGGAAACAGCCTCACTCTATTAGCAGCTGCAGAAGTTCTTGGCTTCGTTGGGTTGCTATATAATTAAGAGCGGAAAGGGGGTGGAAACGCTTAATAATGCCGCAAACCTCACAAACATTATTTTTGTTTGATTCGATAAAGGGCAAGAGACACATGGAGAGAAAGCCTGAAAATATTGTTTCAATGCAGATGAGCATTGGTTGGGCTCAGTGTTTACCATTCACAATGCAGCAGGTGCAATGTGAACCAAATCCAGATTCTGATGCAATTAAGGCATTGATTTGTTTGTTCGTCGGCATTGGAAATAGAGGAAGAGTTGTTGTAGGTTTTTTCAGGCTATATGGCCATGGTCTAGAGGCATTCTCTCCTGACGTTTCGCCTGCATCTATGGCAAGCATCCTCAGAGGTAGTGAGGTCTGTTGGAACGAGGAGAAAGGTTTTATATGTCTGTGGAATGACCAGGGTGGGACAAAAGACCCTTGTCAGCTGGAGCTAGGTGTGAATGTTTCAACAGGAAGGAGGAAACCATGAAAATGAACAAAATCTGGCTACCAGTATTAAAAAACTAAAATTACAACAGCACAACAACAGAGAGGAAACAAACAAGGACATCTAATCACCTCTCAACAAAAGTTTGCTCCAGGCACTGTCAGGCCATCAAATGCTAATCAAGGTGGTCAGTTGAAACATTCACCCCTAGCTCCAGCAGACAAGAGTCCTTTGTCCCACCCTGGTCATTCCACAGATATATAAACCCATTTTCCTAGTTCCAACAGATCTCACCTCTGAGGATTTTTATTTCTCGTGTCAGGGCAGCCAGTCAATTATATTACATTTCTAACAGAACAAAGCAAACAAACAGAGAAAGTACAAAATGTGTGAGTTTGGTAGTTGATTAAATGTCCTTTGACCAGTCTCTGGCCACTTGGAGTGCTTCTGGTGCGTAGTTGGTTAAATGTCCTTTGACCAGTATCTGGCCCCTTGGAGTGCCTCTGGTGTTGCCGCAAGAAGGTCCTCCCTTGTGCATGTGGCTGGGCTCAGGTTGCATTGCAGCAGGTGGTCAGTGGTTGGCTCTTCTCCGCACTCGCATGTCGTGGATTCCACTTTATGGCCCCATTTCTGAAGGTTGGCTCTGCATCTCGTGGTGCCCGAGCGCAGTCTGTTCAGCGCCTTCCAAGTCGCCCAGTCCTCTGTGTGCCCAGGAGGGAGTCTCTCATTTGGTATCAGCCATTGGTTGAGGTTCTGGGTTTAAGCCTGCCACTTTTGGACTCTCGCTTGCTGAGGTGTTCCAGCGAGTGTCTCTGTAGATCTTAGAAAACTATGTCTGGATTTAAGTCGTTGACGTGCTGGCTGATACCCAAACAGGGGATGAGCTGGAGATGTCTCTGCCTTGGTCCTTTCACTATTGGCTGCCACTTGGGGCTGCCACCTCTGAGGATGCTTGCCATAGATGCAGGCGAAACGTCAGGAGAGAATGCCTCTAGACCCATGATGGTGAACCTATTGCACACGTGTCAGCACTGACACGCATGGCTATTTTTGATGACACGCAGACACATGCAGCTGCATACAAAGAAGTACACCTTATAAGAACCAATCTAATTCCATCCTTAAATTTGTAAAAGGCTCTACAAATTTAACATCTACACGTTTGAGCATTGTTCACTCCATAACTCAGCATGGATTTTACATTTTTCTTATTTAAACTATAAATATTGCAAAATTATGGGTTTTTTTCTCGAAGTTGACACCCCCACCCAAGTTATGCTCAGGTTTTTGGCAAATTTTGACACACCAAGCTCAAAAGGTTGCCCATCACTGTCTTACTAGACATGTCCATATAGCCCGGAAAAACCTACAACAACCCAGTGATTCCGGCCATGAAAGCCTTCGACAATACAATAGAGGAAGAGCCTTACAACCCCTTTGGGGATTTGTTGTGTTGGCCTTAAATGTCTAAAAAAGCAACAGAGTGCTTCCGTTTTGCAGGAATGTGAGCAAAAATTGCAACCATTTCCATGCGTTTGTCTTTCCTTTGGGTCCAAACTAGACCCCTGTTTTCCCGTTTTGCTCTCCAAACGTCACATGTCGTATATGTTTGTCTTTGGTTAAGTGGTAGAAAGAGCCCTCTCGTAATGAAACGGTAGCCTTTCCAAGAACCGCATCAGAAATTGCATTATACCTAATGGGGGATGTTTGCAACGTCTGGCTGGCCCTCCGAGGCACTCGTTAGCTTCCCATTCTGCCCCCAGCTTCAGTCTCTCCAAACACACAGTCTTGCGATGGAGATCTTTCTATGCAACTTGCTTCTAAAATAGGAGCTGCTTTGGAGATTTCGAGCCCATTTCAGCAGATCTGTATAAATAAAAATGTAATGTTCGTTTGTGGGATTAACAGAACTCAAAACCCACTGGATGAATTGACACCAAATTTGGACACAAGACACCTCTCAGGCCAATGAATGACCATCAATCATAAAAACAAATAAAAAACACATCAGAAAGGACTTACAAACCCAAAATAACCAAAAAGACATTACAACATATTGTCGAAGGCTTTCATGGCCGGAGTCACTGGGTTGTTGTAGGTTTTTCCGGGCTATATGGCCATGTTCTGGAGGAATTTTCTCCTGACGTTGAAACAGCAACCAAAAAGCCTACGATATGGTTCAGAGATGTGGATGACACCTTCACTATTTGGAGCCATGGAGAAGAAGAAGAACTCAACAGGTTCCTGGACCATCTTAACAGCATCCACCCAAACATCCAGTTCACCATGGAAAAAGAAAATGAAGGAAGACTGCTTTTCTAGATGTCCTAGTCATCCGCAAACCAGATCAACAATTGGGTCACACCGTCTACAGAAAACCCACACACACAGAGATGGATATCTATATCAAAACTCCAACCATCACCCAAGTCAGAAAAGAAGCACCATTAAAGCCTTGGCAGACCGTGCAAACAGGATCTGCGAAGCCCACCTTCTCCAAGATGAACTGAACCACCTCAACTGGGCTCTCCAGGCCAATGGAGACTCCACCTCAGACATCAGAAGAGCTGCAAGACCAAGAAGAAGCCACGAGAGTCAAGACCAAGATCCACCCAGAGGAAAAGTGTTCCTGCCATACATCAAGGGAACCACTGACCGCAGAGGGAAGCTGATGAGGAAACACAACATACAAACTATCTACAGACCCACCAAGAAAATCCAACCAATGCTCCGTTCAGCAAAGGACAAGAGGGATCCTCTCACCTCTGCAGGAGTCTACCGTATACCATGCAGCTGTGGACAAGTCTACAGAGGGACCACCAAACGCAGCAGCATTGCCCAAACACGAATCAAGGAACATGAAAGGCACTGCAGACTCCTTCAACCAGAGAAGTCAGCCATAGCAGAGCACCTGATGAACCAACCTGGACACAGCATATGATTTGAGAACACAGAAATGCTGGACCACACCAACAACCACCATGTCAAGCTACACAGAGAAGCCATTGAAATCCACAAGCATCTGGACAATGTCAACAGAAAGGAGGAAACCATGAAAATGAACAAAATCTGGCTACCAGTATTAAAAAAACTCAAAAATTACAACAGCAAAACAACACAGAGTAAACAATCAGACACATCAAATCACTCTCAACAAAAGATTCCCACAGACACTTCCAAGACATTAAATGCTGATCAAGGTGGTCAGTTGAAACATTCTCACCTAGCCCCAGCAGACAGAAGTCCTTTGTCCCACCCTGGTCATTCCACAGATATATAAACTCATTTTCCTACTTCCAACAGATCTCACTACCTCTGAGGATGCTTGCCATAGATGCAGGCGAAACGTCAGGAGAAAACGCCTCCAGAACATGGCCATATAGCCCCAAAAAACCTACAACAACCCAGACATTACAACGCATGCACGAAAACAACTCCCTGGCACCACCCTCCTCCATTTCTACTTGAACCAAGTGTGAATGTTGCAATTGCCCACCTGGATTACCTTTGAATAGCGTTGCACCTTAAAAGCCTGGCTTCTACCTGCCAGCGGGAAATCTTTGGTGAGAGGACTTCCCTAGCACATATTGTTCCATGTCTGGATATCTTCTGTTTTCTGACGGCCACAGCAATGTGTGGCTGGGTACAGCTAGAAATCGATATAAATAAAAATGTAATGTTCGTTTGTGGGATTAACAGAACTCAAAAACCACTGGGGGAATTGACACCAAATTTGGACACAAGACACCTCTCAGGCCAATGCATGTCCTTCACTCAAAAATTTGATTTTTGTCATTTGGGAGTTGTAGTTGCTGGGATTTATAGTTCACCTACAATCAAAGAGCATTCCGAACTCCACCAACAATGGAATTGAACCAAACTTGGCACACAGTTCTCCCACAAACAATAGAAAATACTGGGAGGGTTTGGTGGGCAGTGTCCTTTGGTTTTGGAGTTGTAGTTCACCTACATGTAGAGAGCACTGTGGACTCAAACAATGATGGATCTGGACCAAACTCCACATGAATCCTCAATATGCCCAAATGTGAACACTGGTGGAGTTTGGGGGAAATAGAATCTTGACATTTGGGAATTACTGTGATTTATAGTTCACCTAC